CTTATTAGTAAGTATACTTTATACTAACTAATAAAGAGAGTATTATTAATAATAGTATAGCTATTATAAAAGTATTAACTAGTTTAATTAAATAAGAAGATAATAATAGTAATAAATAGTAAATAGTAAAGTAGTAATAAAAATAGTATTAGTAATATAAGTAATATATAAAAGAGAAGATAGGTTAATAATTTAATAGTTTATAGTAATTAAGTAATTAAGTAATTATAAACTATATTATTACTAAAGTGAAGTTAAAGATAGTGAAGTTATATATATATATAAGTGCGGCTAAAGTTAAGAGAGGGATATAGTTAGAGACTTAAGAGGTTATTAAGTTATAATTATATAACTAAAGGCTATATATATTATTAAGAGGTATAGAGTTAAGAGGTTTATTGCTCTAAGTAGGTAAAAATTATAGTGAACAGCTAGAAGCCTTTAATAGAAAATAAGTGCAGATTAAATATAGTATAAGAGATAGAGGAGACTAATAAAGATAGAAGCAGCTAGAAGAAAGCAGTTAACTTAGCTTATTATAATAGTTAAAGTCCTAAAGAACTAACTAATAGAGAAGTATAAAGGAGAAAAAGATATCTAAGTTTATAGTTATATAACCTAAAGGTTATTAGTAGGAGGTAAGGGGACTAGTTTAGCTTTTATAGTTAATACTAGTTAAATTCTATAATATAAGGCTAGTAGCCTATAAAGTTAACTATATTAGAAGTAGTAGCTATAATTATAGTATTAAAAATAAACGTTAGTATTTTATATAATAACTAATTATATAAAGCGTACTCTAGCTTAATTAATACTATAATAAGTTAGTATTATTAATATCTATAAGTATTAAGTATTTTTATAAAAGGAAATAATTTATATAAATAAATAGAAGTTTAGTTAGTTTATAATAAAAAAGCTAAATAAGTAAATAAAAATTATTTTTAATTTTATATATTTATTTTTATTCTTTTTAAGAACTTTAATAACTAATTTTATAAGAGAACTTTTAACTTTTTTAGTTTAATTTATAATAAAATTTTTATTAATTCTTTCTTTTTTAAAAAAAACTAAATAAAAAAGTTTATTTTATAATATATCTTCTACTTTATATAGCTCCTTTAATAAGCTTTACTAAAAGAGTAATTTATATAATTAATATAAGCCTTATAAGCTTATAATTTAAAGATATTTAAGAAAATAACTTCCTCTTAAATAATATATACTTTTTTATAAACTTTTTAATCTCCTCTAACTATTAGCTCTTAATACTAAATAAAATAAATATTTTTAAGTTATCTTAATTTTAATTAATTTATTTTCTCTTAAGAAATTATATAACTTAAATTTAAATTAAATATAAGTTAATTAAGTTTATATTTATATATTTACTTTTATATCTCCTATAGTTAGCTAGAAAAATAATATATAAGTATTTAAGTATTTTTAAAAGGTTTTCTATTTAGAGTAGAGTACTTAATATTATTAATAAGTTTTCTTACTTACTTTATTACACTATATTATAGTTAATTTATATAAAAGTTTAAAAAAATATATTATATTATAACCCTCTAGCTATAGCTAAATATTCCTTATTTAAAGTAGATTTTAAGGTATTTCTAGCGGTTAAAGGGATAGAGGGCTATAGCTAATTAAAGGACGATCTAAAGCCAGCGGCCAATCATAACAGAGCTTCTTTCTGACTAATCGTATCGCTAAATCTAGCCCCGAATGGAGAAACTTCGGGGTAGTTTTCAGGGTGGGAAATCCAGCACTTTGACCCGGCGTGGGCGCCGGCCTTACATGTCGTTTCTTAGCAGAAAGGCACTCACAGACGCGGCGTTAGCAAGTAATGGTTTACAAACCGGTCAAATGGTTATAGCCATAATCGCGCCGCCTGTCGTATCATGAACGACCAAATTAAACCGCCATTGCCTGCTCTATTGTTGCCAAAGCCTCGGCGACAAGATGCGGCTCTACGGCTCGGACTTGCTGCATAGGCAAATACCCGTCGTCGCCGCATTTATCCTACGTCTTTGCGTTCAATCGTCAGCTCAACCGTCGACTGTATCCAGTACTCACCCCGCGGATGCATGTGTGGGCGTTTGCGAATTTAAAACGATTAACTACATCACACACACCCTCCCACAGCAGTGTCTGAAAACCAGCTGGCCTGGAGAGAAAGCCGCAACAGACGGAACAGGACCTGGTTATGATACCGCCGCGGGTAATCGAACAGCCGAGCTCAGCGCCGAACATGCGACAACTACGACAGATGTCGCCGCCAATTCTTCGTTGAGCGGAACTTCGATGCTCCCGCCCACGGACATAAGTAGCGACGAGGAACCAAGCCCAAGGCCCTTCATGTCATTCGAAGACTGGAAAGAGATGATGCTTCGCAAGGCCGGGCAGGATCCATCCGAGTTGAAAAGTCGCAGGACATATGATCGAGGTGAAGATCATGACGGAGCTGCGAAGACCTCGGGGCTGGACAGTCTGGGTGATGATGGCGAGATCGATCTAAATTTCGACGTTGTCTCGGAGAAAATCAGCAACATTGCATCGGCGCCGCAAGCATTACCAACTGAGCCGGGAGCGTCAGACCTCCAAGAACCGGTGCTCTACGACGATGGCAGGACCCAATACGATCGGAGCAAGGATGCTGGGAAGACTTGCAAAGAACGATTCTCGTACTCGTCATTTGATGCTGGTGCCACAGTTCTGAAGACAAACAAGGGTGCGAAGAATGCGAAAGCCATCTTAGTCGAAAACAAGGATTCCTATATGCTTTTAGAGTGTTCGGCGGAAAACAAGTTCGTTATCGTGGAGCTGAGCGATGACATTTTGGTTGACACTGTGGTGCTCGCCAACTTTGAATTCTTCTCGAGCATGATCCGGCAGTTTCGAGTCAGTGTCAGCGACAGATATCCTGTTAAGGTCGACAAGTGGAAGGACCTTGGCACATTCGAGGCAAAGAACTCTCGAGACATACAGCCGTTCCTTGTACCCAACCCTCTGATCTGGGCAAAGTATGTCCGCGTTGAGTTCTTGAGCCACTATGGGAACGAGTACTATTGCCCGGTATCTTTACTACGAGTCCATGGCACTCGAATGTTGGAGTCCTGGAAGGACACCGAGACACCCGCCGACGAAGAGGACGTAGCTGATGAATCGCCAGACGGCATTTCCGGCTCTGTAGGTAGCTCTGATGCGGCCGCCGACTCAGCAGCGTGGGATAGCACATCTCACTCTCCAACAGGCCATTCAGGCGAGACCATAACAGCTTGTCTTGACTACTCAATGGATCCTTCCCAGCCACTCAAACTGTTCAGATCCTCTGTTTGGGATAATGTTACTTGTCCGAAATTTACAAGGGGTCCCGTCGCGGGAATGATCGCGACGTCACCATTGTCAGAAGCCAATATTGCCGACAAAGGGCCCAACGCTCAGAAGAAGTCGGCATCCGGAATCCCCAATGGGCACATGGGAGAAAACAAACCGCCTGTCTCCACAATCATCGGCGGCAATCAACCAGAAATTAGCCCCGAATTGACAGCGGCTTCAACCTCTGCAACTTCTCACCAAATCAACACGCCGCCGGCCCCCCGCCCAGCAGGAGCAGGGACTGAGGATATGAATGCCAGCTCTTCCCCGACCAAAGCAACATCGCAGACCAATGCTCAGTCTCGATCCAAGAACAACTCAACAGCAGCCCCTGCTTCTCCTACTGTGCAGGAGAGTTTTTTCAAGGCTGTCAGCAAGCGGCTGCAATTACTAGAAGCCAATGTGACTTTATCACTCAAGTACATCGAAGATCAATCACGTTCGCTGCAGACGACCCAATATTTGACCGAAAGAAAACAGTTGTCCAGAATTGATTCTTTCTTGGACAGTCTAAACCATACTGTTCTCTCAGAGCTGCGGACAGTACGCCAGCAATACGACCAAATTTGGCAGTCGACGGTCATTGCACTGGAAAGTCAGCGGGAGCAATCACAGAGAGAAACCGTGGCGCTGAGCTCACGACTCAACATTCTTGCCGACGAGGTGGTGTTCCAGAAGCGAATGGCAATTGTACAGGCCATTCTCCTACTTTCTTGCCTTGTATTAGTCATTTTCTCGAGAGCCATGGCGCAACCCATCTTGACTGGCTCTTTTGATGCCTATCGATCCCCAAGCCTGAACCACCCCCTACCAGGCCTACCAACTGATCGCAGTGTCGATAGCTCTTTCACCCCTCGATACGACAAGTTTGGGCGGCCTGTTGAATGCAGCGACAGCGGTCACTTCGATACTGGCCCATCTCTAATAGAAGCGCCCAATGAGCACCGTCAGCTACTCACGCCAACATCGGACAGCGCACACGGTTCCTACATCGATGATGAGGCTGTGCCCGGCCCAGATCAAATCTCGGGGACAGATCATGTCCGAGACGTACAGTATCTCGAAAATGAGCCAGACATTGGTTACCAGTGCTCTTCTTCCAGCCACAGTACTCTTTCCACAGAGGAGGGAGGATTTTTTACAGATGAACCCTTGACAGCCCAAGACTCTCCCACCCAGGTTACAGAACATTGTCTACCAGCAATCTCGTCTCTGGAGACGCCCGCAGTCGCAGTGCCGGATCTAAGGTTCCTGCCATCCAGTCGTGGAGTTGGTTCGCTGGCAACGCGCAAGCCACTTCCTGCCCTGCCGGAGTACCCGCCTTAAACAGCACTGTGCTCTGGTAGTGGAAGCCGAAAAACAGTGCATTCAGTGGGACTGCAAAGAAATAAGTATCGGGTCCTCGGTCGGTCTAGGGATGAGAGTATCAGAGTAGACAGCCATGATATGTCTGCGGGCTCTAGCTAGTTATTAATGATTACACATGGTTGACGCCTCCAGAAAGCTCCTGTAATATAGCAAACAAAGCTGTGGGCCCACGCGTTCGGACAACCCAGTTTCATGCTAATCTCCCAGACTGTATGGCGACCAAGCGTCGTCCAAAGATCCTTTTTCGCTCACTGTTGGTGATACATGTATGACTGCATATTGGTCTCGAAGTCGTGTTCCTCGAGGGCAGCCAGCCTTGTTCCTCGGTCGTACTGCGAGCGTCTACGGCGTTGCTCGTCACGGAAATGCTGGCCAGCGTTGGGCGTGAAAAGACCTGAGTCTCGTGTGAGTATCTATTGCAATTCAAAATCCTTGACTGTCTTACCGACGTGCTCTGCATTCTCGCAACTTCGCTTCATCTTGGACTGATTGTCTGGCTGGGGAAAGGGTTCTTCCTCTCCAGCAAGCTCCGGGATGGGACCGTTGGATGTGTAAAACAGCTGCGTGATAATGAGCAGAACTTTCCATCTCAGCAGAATGCAGAGCCGTACCTTGGGACGGTAGTGCGCTGCTTCAAGCATGACAGAGCTGTTTCTGAATTTTTGAACCAAGCAATCCTTGCCTTGGATGGCTTCACGTGTCTGATTAGCGGCTGGGTTCGACATTGCAACCCAGAGTCTGGATGACTCACTGGCGTAGGAGATCTCAGCGACCTTGTCGCTTTTGAAACAGTTCCATCTCTGGTTGCCCCTTGTGTTGACAAACTGTGGCTATATCAGCACTGCACCGCTGGGCTGTGGGGTATTCACTGACATCGACGATGTCCAGCGGCTGGATGATTTGTTAGCACTCGGCCTTCCCACAAGGTCAAAGAAACACTCACGTCTACGAAGTTGATGAACGCATATCCGACGCTGTGTCAATCTTGCGGTTAGTCTTTATAAAGCCAGAAGGGATGAGAGGGGGAGCGTACTTGCAGTCATTCGCAAAGTCGATCCTCAGATACATGAAATCGTACTTTCCCCAGCTGGACTCGTCTACGATCCGCTTGAGCATGGCCTGATCAACCTTGTTGGGAATATTACGAAGCATGATCTGGACACAGTCAGCTTTGAAAGTCGGATTCATTTGGTCTACGTACAGTTGTGCGGACGTCCGTTCCTTCGCGGATGCGATTGACGTCGACATGGTTGTGATGGCTTGTAACGTTGTAGTACGGGGACCTGTTAACACGGGAGGCGTTCTGTCTTCGAGGCTCGGGTTTTGGGCTGCATGACATCGATCCAGCCGTAGACAGACCTCGTGCTTGAGGCGAGAAGAGCGGACTAACAAACTGGTATCCAGCAGGACTCGACGTAGCTGGCGGCAATGACAAGCGAGAACCACCATCGAGGAGATATCCCATTCCCGGTTGGAACTGCGGCTGGCACAGAATCGGCCACATCGCAAATGGGGGGACCTGGATTCCGAAAGGAGGGTACGCGGAGCCTGGTCCCATCATACTTGTCCCATGTGGCGACATACCTATCTGCGTCGGGTTCTTAGACATAGCCAAAGCCTGGAAGGCGTTTGTCAGGTCCTGGCTAGGAAGGAGGGGGCCAGAAGCTTCGACGGAGCCACCATGCTCCTCGTGTGTTGTCTGAAATTCATCGCCAGTGTCAATGGAAGACAGACTGATGTGGGCTCCCTTGCAGTCAAATTAGCGTCTGGTGCAGGTGCCGAGAGGAAGAGCTTTCTGGAGGCCAGAAACTCGACGGCATACCTCGATGATTCTGTTGTCGAGCGAGACGACCGCAGACAAGGCTCCTGACGCATCGCTGAACTCTGCAACAGCCTTGTAAGTGTCCTCGTCGTGTACTTGTTGCGTGTGATAGGCCAAGAGATGGCCCTTTGCTTGTAGATGACGCTTGACAACTGCTTCAAGGCGGGATATGTCAAGGACTCCCAAAGGTGTGGCAATGGCCAGGATCGATACCCACGAGCCACACTTCATAGGGGTATGTCCGGCGTGCTGCGTAAAAGTCAGGAGGATTGTTCTCGGGTGGGAGGGACGAGCAGCATATACCTCGGAAAAATGAGCTTCAGACATGTACTCCACCTCGAGGTCTGCCTGGACGCGGTGCAGATTGTCGTGAATCAAAACAGAATCACGTATATCATCGAAATGGACGATAGCCCTCCCACTCCGATGATGGATCTGCCTTGGCTCTTGAACTAAGAGACCCAAGCGTTGGAGCTTCTGGCTGGGTGTCAGTCGGCGCAAAATGACCTGTCGAGATATCGACACTCACCGTGAAACACGACATAAGATCAGCTCCGTTCAGAGTCCGACTAGACGACCAAATACTGAGGTACTGTGACAGTTCGCCCTCTTCCTTTTGGCTAGGCGAGAACAAATTGCGGTTCCTGCGCCTGACATGATCGGGAGTCGCAACGGGGCCGACAAAAGGCTGAAAAGCTGAGGCCGTCGGCGAAAGCTTCTGAAGAGCAACATTCGACGTGGTAGTAATGAACGGGTCCTTGTCAGCATTGGAAATTGCCCCACCAAAGGCGATGGAATGAAACCTAGACGGCGTGGTGTCTGGGGAGTCTTGTCCGAGGGACTTGAGGAGACGAGACGATCTCGCTGAGCCCTCTTCTGGAGAGAAAGCCGTGAGTCTCGTGTCTGGAGTTCCCTTAAAGGACTCGGCTCCTCCAACAGAAGATCGCGGGGAAGACGGGTTGAAGACCACCGACTCGCGGTTGTGCGCCATCTTGCGTGCCGTATCCCTGCTCTACGGCGCGAATTGAGGACAGTTAGAATGAAGCTTCCCTGTCGGAGTAGAGGAAGGGTGTACAAGAGAAGACAGAAGTAGTGACGTCCCCATCACCACATCCGGCAAGGGAGGGGGTAGCTGAGGCAAAGGCTTGTCATCACGTACCTGATCGGAGAAAACGAGGCTTTTGAATATCAAGGTTGATGCCGTTCTTCCTGTCCTCGAGAACCAGTCAAACACCCCGCAGCATACACCGTAAGGTAGATCTGTGACTGCGGATGGAATGGAGATCGAGAACACCGAGTTGTGTGGGCCTAGACTTGGGGATAAGTAAGGTAAGCCTTGCCGCCAGAAACGGCAGGACAAGACAGCTTTGGGTTGTTTGAGTGTTTGTCCTTGCTTGGCGAAATATTGAGAAACTGAACGGGTGAGTATCTCAAAAGATGGAATGGCAAGGAACAAGAAAGGAGAGGAAAGGAGAGAGGAATAATGAGACTGGAAGGTTGATGAGGTAAAGGAGAGGAAGGGCGCTCGAGGGTTGCTCGCAGGGTCGGCTGAGGGCGATGGCCTTTCCCGCTTCCTTCCTTTTCGCGAACGTTGTGTGCGTGGAATTAGAAGGCGCAGTGACCAACGGAAAAACCACAGTAAGTGCTGTTGGGTCAGCAAAGTTACTGAGATACGAGACCTGTATGCGGCAGTCGCATTTCCTTCCTTCCTTCCCCGTAAAGATGATCTTTGCAGGATGGGTGGATTGCACCTTCCACGCCTACATCTTCCAACCTACCTACCATAGGTAGGGAACCTTGCCTACCTACCTAGGTAGGGCAGGTGCCTCCTCACTGACCCTACCTACCTGACTTACTCCGAGGAAGCAACTGAAGAGTTCCCATGATATACGTGGAGCTCAGCCTCTGTCGGAAGGCACTTTCCTTTCCCTACCTTCCCTACCACCCTTTCCTCTGTCCTGTTTGCGATGATACGACCAGTTCACAGCCGACAACTGCAGTTCAGACACATACAGACCACGTCATTCTGCGATACACGATAGCCATACTTCCAGCTCCAAGATGGTAGAGACTACCCAGTGCTCCATTTGTGTTTATAGTTAAGATGCCTGCTCAACCTTCTATCTTGCTGCCTTCTGATGTTAGCTGGTGCTGCTTCCCATAAATGTAACTGATGTACTTCAAGATGTAATTGTCTTTTGGTAGCTAAAGACTTATGTTTCAACAAGTTATCGTTAATATTCTAGGGTGTGTTGATTTAGGCTAGGTTAATGTAATGTTAGAGATGGAAGGGGCATTAAATGATGAAAGATGCTTCCACAGACCAGACAAGTGAGAGCACCTCTTATATACCTATGGTTGTAGGTGCTTCTGTTCCAGGATGTCCCATCTGAAGAATGCGCCATTGTCTACACTGGAGGTTGGAAGTGCCTACCTTAGGTAAAGTAGGTATAAGGTCAGGTGTTGTGCACGTTCTCAGGTACCTACTGGCGGGTGCAATGTACCTGGTAGGTGGGGCTGTAGGTAAAACGCTGCGGCTCAGGGTGCGCACTTGAGTGTGCTTCCTCCCACAGTGCCCCTGCACCTGCATTAGCGGAGGTCCACCAAAGAGCCTCAAACTCTGACCCTCTATCAACACAACTTCCCCAGCATTTGATCTTAAGCCTATGCTAGCCAACCTTACCCTTGTTCACAAACGTGTCTCAATCAACACTTTATCTCTGATTACACAGCTTTTGTTTTCCACAGAATCGCAGGTAACAAAGGTGGCCTGACGGAAACGAAGAGACCAAAGGGACGCAGCCAGCCTGAGCACACCAGATAGCAACAAGGAGCCATCGACAGTACTGCTGGCTCGATTAGCAGCCTATGGACGAAGATGCCCCGTCGCCCGCAGACCTATGATGACTATGGTGCTGCTGTACAGCAGGTTGGGCACCTCATTTTGAACCTTTAGCTGCATTCCCTTCTAGAATGCTGGCGATGCTGATTTATCAACAACCCTTAGATCATTCTGACTTCCACAGACTCGGACTTCCTGGACCAGCTTATCCCCGTGCTCAAAGACGCCTCCAATTCGAATCGAACGCCGTCACTCACCCAGAACCTCGCAAGATATGCCGAGGATAGAGAGTCTGATATTGAGCGGATCGGCTTGACGAAGCATGAGGAATTTCTAGGTTCCGTCAACCAGCTACAAACTGTCCGCGAAGGTACCGTCGCTTTGACGGCCGAGATCCTTAGGCTAAATCAGTCCATCCAAGCAAGCACCGAAAAGCTCGCGAACCAAAAGCAAGCCCTCGTCGACACGCGCGCTGTGCGCCAGAACATCGCCGATGCTTCCGAAGCCCTCAAAGAATCCCTGAAGATTCTGCACGCTGTCAACCATGCCCACGATCTGATCCGCAAGAAGAAGTACTACGCCGCACTCAAGTCCCTCGATGACCTGCAAAACGAGCACCTCATACCGACCATTCAGAATAAGTACGCAACTCAGCATAGGCTTGCCGACGTAATCCAAAAGTCTATTCCGGCATCGCAGAAGATCATCTCGGAAGCTGTGATGGCGGATCTGAATACCTGGCTCTTTCGAATCCGCGAAACTTCGCAGTTCCTCGGCGAGGTTGCGTTCTACCATACCGAACTGAGGAGAGCGAGACAAAGAGAACGTGTGGAGCAAGACGGATACCTTACCAAATTCAAGCTCAACTCCTCCATTGAGCTCGTCTTTGATGAAAGTGAAGAGTTTGACGTGTTGGACAATGAGGAGCTGCAGGTCGACTTCACGCCTCTATTCGAGTGCCTCCACATCCACGACGCCCTCGGACAGAACGAGAAATTCCGAGCAGAATACGCTACTACCCGCAGGCAACAGAAGGATCTTTTGTTGCCTGGTACCGTTGGACTAGTGGCAGACGATGAAACGTCACTCAGCAGTTTACTCGAGGGCATCGCAGGCTTCGCCATTATTGAAAAGGCCACAATGCGCCGGGCTCCTCATCTGCGGTCCGCTATCGACGTGAGTAGGGGGAAACGACACTGCTGCGCCTCAAATTGCTGAACTACCACAGGTGGACGAGCTATGGGACTCGATGTGTCACACCGCCATCACTCTGACTTCGCAAGCCCTGAACGAAGTGAGCAATGCCGAGATCCTCCTCAAAATCAAGGGCGTCATAGCTTTATTCATCCAAACCATGGAGGTACTTTTCCCGCTCTGTTGTTACGCTGGGGTTCCGTTAATGCTGAGGCAAATCTAGGGATGGGGCTATTCTGTATCTATGCTCGACAACTTCCTCCTCAAACTTTTCGACAAGTATGCAGAGCTTTTGAAACGCCGTTTCAGCGAAGACTTCCAAGAGGTAAGCGCCGATGTCCCGCTTGTAGGGAATAGTTCGTAGCTGACGATTTTAGATCGTCTCAACAGACGACTACATGCCCATGGCAATCAATACGCGCGAGGAGTACGAGAAGGTGGTAAATGTCAGCTGGTTCTCCCAAGAAAAGACCCTGGAAGAGCTCAGGTAAGCCCATCCTTCACGATAGTTATGCCTCATCATTCTAATGCTTGTCTAGCTTCCCATGCGTCCTGCCCTTTTCCCAAATGTACCCCTTGTGCTGCATCGATATCCGGAATTTCTTGAACCAGTTCTACTTCTTTTCCGACGATCATTTCCAGCACCCCAATGTTATTGACGAGACACTCCGCAAGGTACGATCTTCACTAACGTGACTCTGGAGAGTTGGCAACTAATCGAGCACACTCTAGTCACTTGACGAGTTATTGACAGAGAAAGTGTGCAAGTCCCTCGTTGAAAGACTTAGCTCGCAATATCTGGGCCAAATCGTGCAAATATTGATCAACTTGGAGCACTTTGAGGCAGCATGCCAGGAACTGGAGCAGCTGCTTATCAGAGCAAGGTCATCGACATCGGCTGGTGGCCCCGTTACACTAGTGGCCACAGAAGAATTCCGGAACAATAAGAAGACTGCCGAGAAGCGCATATTCGAGCTCGTCAATTCCAAGATCGATGACCTCGTGGATACTGCGGAGTACGACTGGTATGTGTTGCTGTTGCTGCTCCTGGGGAACATGGCCGCAGTAGTTCATTTCTATTCGCTCTCGAAACTAACAACATGGCGTAGGATGGCAACAACTACATCCCCCGACCCAAGCAGTTACATGCAGACCATGACACGATACCTTTCCAATATTATGAACTCGACGCTTTTGGGCTTGCCACGGGAGATCAAGGAACTTATCTATTTTGATGCTCTCAGTCATGCTGCCAATAAGATTCTTGTACGTCAATTGATGTCCCATAGCGTTGCTGTTCCCTGTTGACAGGCTGACCCACAAACTCACAGGCACTGCCGCTGTCTCCCGATGTCAAGCATATCAACACCAATGCGGTAGCTGCACTCGCAAAAGATGTCCAGTATCTAACAGAGTTTGTCGAAAGTCTGGAGAATGGAGCGATGCTTCGAGAGAATCTGGACGAGCTCCAACAAACCGTGAACTTGATGCAGTCCGACAACCATGACGAATTCTTTGACATTTCCATCCGGAACAAGAAGTTTGGACGTGTCGACGCCATGAATGGGCCAATTCTTCTAGAGAAGTATGTACTTCGACTCTCATGAGGCAACTCGAATCAAAGTGTCAACTGACATTTATGCAGACTTACGTCGAACGCTCAGGGCCCTACTCGGAGTGCCCCTCTCGCCAACTTCTCATCACGATTTGGCATCATGAAATGAGTCGCGAAGTATTCGGAGACTACAGTGTACACGAACCACGCTCAGGATCATCGATGGACTGGCAGACTGGCATACCTGCCATCTACAGATTGCCAGCTGTGTGACCTTTTTCTTTTCTGACTGAAGCAACTGAATAATTCTATCCTCAGGGCGTCATTAGACTGGCATATAAGTAGGACATGCTTATCAACCGTGCCTGGGTACAAAATCTTGACGAAGGAACGCCGTTTACCAACGTGTTAGATGTTTCCATCGTCAACCCTTATGGTCGCCGGAAAGCCTCGAACGCCACGACGCCACCAATAAAGCCACGAGGGAAAAAAGAAAAAAAAAAAAGGGAGAAAACCGAAAGCGGCTCATTCCCTCACCGACCAATCGCCTTTCTGATTCATGCGGGCCTCGAAACGACGTAAAGACTGACCTTTCCTGTACGCCTTTTCGTGTCCAAGTCTGTTCGCCACTATTCAAACTCCTCCGACGACATGGGCGGCTGCTGGACTTGTCAGTCTCTCGTTTTCAAAGCTGGTGTTCTCCTTCGGTCAACTAACCTGCTGAGGTTGCATGGTGCCGTATCCGTACATTCCCTCAATTTCGCCGTACATACCTTGCTGCGCCTGACCATATGGCGCAGAAGGCCCAGGTTGTACTTGGCCAGGATACATGTTGGGGTTCTGGCGATAGTCCTGGTCGGGGCCAAGAGCATGTCCGGCGAGTCCGTAGTCGGTCGTTGCCATAGGATGAGATGAGGAGGAATGGTTGGCAGCTTGTGGAATAGCGCCGTGTTGGCCTGATATCTGGGAAGCTGCCTGCGCCGGCACGCCCTGGCCAGCAGGGGCAGCCTGGCCTGCGGTTCGTTTGGCATGAGAAGAGGCTTCCTCTCGAGGAACAATGTCAATCAGGAAGTCAAACATGTCTGACTTGGCCAAGGCAGATGCAATATCAGATCGCTGCAGGGTTCTTCGCTTATTCTCTTCGGCGTGAATCCAGGCACGCATTGTCAACTCGGTGATGAAAATATCGCAGCCCTTGGCGAAGAGAATGGGTGCTTCTGCCGATATCATCTTGACTTCAGGGTCGGCCTTCATGACCTTCTTTATCCGCGCCAAAGGCAGCTGGTGCAGCTTGTAGTCATGGTTATCGCTTTCCAGGTGGTTAATGGTCTGCTGCCAGTAAGTCGTCAGGATGTCTTTGTACTGGCCCGTCAGGCCTTGGTGGACCTGTTGCGATTGAGGCGCATGTCAGCAAATCAAGTAGGAGGGGTGTTCTCGAGTTTGATGGGCACGCACATTAGCCCATGGACCGGTGTACAGTTCGGCGGGAGCAAAGCCCTGGGCAGAGAGCTGTTCATATTGTCAGAGGTGTCCGAATCATCAGAAGCTAACCAGCGCCAAATAACACCGCGACCGGTGTTTGGATAGCCGCTGGACGATTGCTTGAAGTGAAATACGAACCGCAGCACTTGCACCTAGTAGCAGAGCAGAAGTCAGCAGTGGCAACAACATGTGCTTCGAGAGACAGCGACGGGGATGCTTTGCGCAGGCACGCGCGGGCTTGACGCGTTTGAATTGCGCGAAGAGCTGTCTTACCGTAGTGGCCTCCATGAGACGTATCGTAAACAGGCTGGGCGCGGCCTTGCTGCGCGTGAGAGCCGGATTGGTTCTGAGGGTCCATTTCGATCTATGTGCAGATGATTATTGTAAAGGTTGAGATTATTGCAGCGTCGGGTGTATGGTGTGAGTAGCGCGGGCACGATTGTTGACTACGGACGGAAGCTTGGTTGTACGGAGGAGACCCGAGGACGTAATCGGGACGAAGTGAAGCGAGGCGTGTGGCTAGGCTGAGATAGGAGTGGAGGATAAACTAGCTGGTGCGTGGGGTTCCGATGGCTGGCATTTGTACGAAGGTTCCGGTCAAAAGTATTCGTACATCAGGGGGGCCCTGCCGTAGTGCGAAAATCAGGGGTTTTTCGTCGTTTTCACTATAGTCGATCCCTTGCCTGATTAAGCCCTAACTTCAGTTGCTTAAAACGAGGATACCCTAACTAAAAATTAGCCTACACTATCATTTTCAACTATACTACTCTTTTAGATTAAAACTAGAAGGGGGTAACTCTACCTCAAAAAGAACGCTACTAATGCTACTATAATACCTATAAAGTTGAGAAAATAGGATAATAGTACGTATATAAGAGCCCTAACCTTATAGGGGTTAGGTAAGGAGTCTATTATTAAGATATATAAAGACTTTAATATACTCTAAAGTATATTTACTTTAATACGCTAAAAAGCTATTAATTAAGGATAGATCTTAAGAGAGGTGGTTCTTAAGATATTTATAACTAACGCTCCTCAAAGTAAGCGCTCCTTACGTATTATTAAAGACTTTAAAGTCTAGATTATTAGTATTCTAATAAAAAACTTATTAACTAAGTAGTATTTAATATAGTAGTTAGCTAATATAATCTACTATATGTTTATTAAAAGCAATATATTAGTTTTAAAGTTCACTATATATTAGTATCTAAAAAGTAAATAGTTTTAAAGTATTAAATTAATAATAAAACTAAGCCTAAATAACTAACAAAAGAGATAACACCTTTAATAAGCTCTAAAGTATAACGCTTAGATAATTAAGAACTAAAAGAGGGTTATATAGAGTGATAAGATAGCTATAATATTAAGAGCAATCTATAAGAAGCAGAAGGTTTAGCGGAAGCTAAACGAGGTATTTATAACCTACTATATTTAACAGTATTAGAAAAATAAATAAGAGTTTATATTTTAGGGCTATTTTTATTAGTATAAAGTTAGACTATATTATATATAGCTAATAGAGTTAAAAGCTTAGAAGGAGAGGTATTAGTAGTAGATAGATTGTTAAAACGCTCACTATAAAGCAGCAGATTAAGCTAAATAAGAAGAAGCTAAAGCTATAAGAGTAATAAGCTTAAAAAGGAAGCCCTTAAGGCCTAAGTAATAGAAATATACTGCTAAAATAGGTGCTATAGTCTATAGGTTGAAAAAAGGAGGGATTAACTAGTGCTAGTATTAGTATAAGGTTCTAAAGGCGCTTTTTATACCTTTTATTAAGTAGAAGTAATATACCTATCCTAAAGGGGTAAAAATACTAGCATAAGAAGATAACGCTAACCCTTATACTTAGTATTAGAACTATGAGTTCTAGTAGAAGTTAAGTATTAAGCTTTTAATATAGCTAGTAAATTCTTTAGATCTCTTAGTAATAGAGCTACTATAGATATATCTTAAATAGCAGTAGGGCTTTATTAGTATTATAAGCTGTATACGCCTAACTTATATATAGTAAGAGTAATAGCAGAACTTTCTAATTAAAAAATTATAATACTACGTAAAGTATATCTAATATAATATTTAATAAGTAATTCAGCTAAAGGGAGGGAATAAATATAAAGAGGGGTTACTACTACTGCTACTAATAAGTATTAAGGAGGAAAAATTAAAAGTAGAGATTATAACTTTCTTAGTAGAAGAAGAGGAAGAAGAGAGAGTAGTTACTATTATTAACCTATAGTAAGAGGTTATTAATAAGCTTAATAACCTTAATCTATATCGTAAAGCTAGCGTAGGGTGCTGCCGCTATACTGTAGAGGTAGAGTGGTCTAAAATTAATAATAATAGTGATTTTAATAGGGAAAATTCTAATACTAAGTAAATAAAGGTAGAAGAGTTTAAATATAACGCTAAATTAATAATATATTATTACGCTAGGTAGTTATAGTAATATAGCAAAAATTCAGCGTTTTTTTGCGATAGTAGGGGTAGTAAAATTAACTACACACGTCGAGGTAGGGTGGAGGGGTAGTTAGAGGCGCTGGGGGCTAGCGCTGAGGTTTAGCCGGCCTCTAATTGGCCGCACTGTGATTAAAAGTGGGGATGTACGAATACTTTTGACCGGAACCTTCGTACTTGCCCGCTCTGCAGCGCACACATAGGTGCTGTATGGCGACTTGCATGCTGGGTCGGTTCATCGTCTGACGTGCCTCCGACCTACCTTATGTGGTCGGGCACCTTACCGAGTGACAACCAGTCCGTCGGCAGCTTCAGAGCGATGGTTATCGATTCGCTTGAACGATCTCTTTTCTAGCTAGCGTTCTCTTTTTGTTTTTGTCAGGTACCTACAGCTGTGCAGCACCTCATCATTCAAGGCGTTATGACGCTAGCCAGCAGCTCCAGAGTGACGTGGCTTGGAGCCGTATGGTGTGTTACACTGTGTGCCTGATAGATGCCTAAGGCATTAGGATACTTAGCATCTGTACCTTATCGAACCATCAGCCAGCGAAATCGCAGGCGCATTATTGTTTGTATTATCTGCCTGGTGTTGCTTTACTACGAGGTCACAATGTCGTCCAGAGGTGGCCTAAGAGTATAAACCTGAAGATTGGTTCATGTCAGATTCCCGCGCCCGCACCCCCCCGCCGAGGCTCAATCGCGGCTGATTTTTGACCCGACACATTACGTAAGACAATCAGAGGTTCGTCCCCGTCCAAGGCACCTTTCCTGATTACACGCCCCACTTAGCCCCAACTTTTACGAGGAAGCTCCATTTGAAGAGAAAAAAAAAATCCCTTTTACATCGCTAATCCGTCCTTCCTTTCGATTGCTCGTTGAGCTCTTTTTCGACTCAATCAGTCCAATCGTACTTCACCGCTATGCCGGAGTTGTGCGATGAGCGTCTTGACGAACTCTTGAAACAAGCGGCCAGTCGGCTACTGACGAAGAAGTCGTCACAGCCGAAGGATTACAGCTTGATCGCGGTCGCTTCAACCGAGCCAACCGCGGAGCACCAGGGCCAGCCAACGGTACGAGACCAGAAGAGCCTCGCGCTTCGCGATCCTAGGCCGACAGAAGAGAAGGTACGTTTTTCGCAACTTTCACCATCATTTCGCCCCAACGTCTCGTGATGAGAAGCAATCCTTGCTTATTCTGTTGATGTGGTGTCGGCATCCGTCTTGGACTGCCGCGCCACGCCCAAATGATACTCCTATTTCATAGTTACTCTGAAGCGAAACCCGCTCTCGCGTTTAATGTCTCTGTTGGTCGTTTATCCTAGTACAGTAAAGCTGACGCGTCTTCTCAGAATCTTGACAACGCTGGCCCTCGCTGGTTTGGCATCCCTAAGACGGACCCCAATGATCCAGAACTCAAGCGGGATTTACAAATCCTGCATATGAGAGGGACTGCCATTGACCCGAAGCGACACTACAAGAAAGAGTCTCTGAAGGCCAAAGTGCCTCGTTATGCTCACATTGGACGTATCGTCGAAGGGCCGACCGAGTTTTACAGCGCACGCCTGACTCGCAAGGAGAGAAAGCAGACACTGGTAGATGAATTGTTGAGTGCTGAAAAGGCCTCTGGCAAGTTCAGGTCTAAGTACGAGGGCATCCAGCAGAAGAAAGCGAGCGGCAAGAAGGCCTTCTACAAGAAACTGGTAGAACAACGTCGCCGTGGCAGACGGTAAAAATAAATAAAGGATTCTCAAGACCTCGATTCGTCGCAACGTCTCCGACGCCGTGATTTCTAGCCTACATTGACCGGGCGCTTTTCGTCGAAGAAATTGGCTCTTGTTCCATGTCGCAGGTGATTCTCATTCACCCTCCCAGGGGACTATGCGAGGGGACAGAACAAGAAAGGATAATAAAATGGCTTAAACCCTTTAGTCTTATAATTTGGGCTACACGCGGATAGTGTGATTTTCATTATGCGTCTGCACGCCTTAGGCCGTGCTCTTATATGAATAATATATGGAACCCGAAATTTATCGATTTCTTTGCCGTTCATGGTTTCGTCGCCGACAGACTAGTCCTCTGATCCTATCTGATTACCCATGCAGCGACCAAAATGCGCGTAACATCGCTATTGCGGCCAACAACCCGCTTTCTGGCGCGGTCAACACCACGGGTGCGTTCCCATCTTTATCACTAAGTGTTCTTGGTTGGCTTTGGAGAGTCGTTCTTTAGCTTACATTCCATTTCCAATGCAGGCCGTCGTCCAGCGACAGCCGTTAACGCGATTTCTTGCCACTGGAGCACCCATCGCCGAAAAGAGCATTGACACGCCCATCGACCAGATTCCCTCTGCAGAAGCTCGCGAAAGAGTGTCAACTACTAGAAAGGCCCTCCCCAATCCCCAACAAGGGTAAGTTAATGACGTTTTGAGGACATCCCAAGCGAGCCACCCGAATGCGGACATTTAACTTTTCGTCAGGAAGTCACCGAAATTGCGATTCCCACGAAGTGTTCAGGCTCTCTATCTTCAGCCCTTGAGGTGCGAAGCTGAATACGGCATTCCCTCATGCGACCTGCAGCTACGTTCTTTCAGCATAAGAAACCTCGAATTTTTCGTCGATTTCGCCCTTCGCGCAGCATACTATCTCAAGCTTCCAGCTTTTGGTCCAGTACCGCTACCTCGTATTACCGAACGTTGGACAGTCCCTCGCAGTAGTTTCATTTTCAAGAAGTCTCAAGAAAACTTCGAACGCATCACCCTACGTCGCCTCATCCAGATTCGCGATGGCAACCCGGAGACGGTGCAGTTATGGCTGGCTTTTCTCCAAAAACACGCATACTATGGCATTGGTATGAAGGCCAACATCTGGGACTTTGGCAAGCTAGGTAGGATCTCGCGTGAGACGTCTACTTGTGTAAATGTTAACGTTCTTCAACCAGGTGTAGGAAAGTCGATGGATGCCATCTCCGAACACGCACTTGGGGCTATCGAACCGAAGTGGGAACAACTGAGCCAGCTCAGAAGTCTGGACACGGTCGAGAAAGTTGAGGAGTTCCTGGCCACCTCGCGGTTTAATACCGACAGTGGTAAGCGGGCGGAAGGACAGCGCCGCTTCGTAAAGGAACAGTTCAAAAGAGAAAAGATGATGAAGAGAAAAGAGGCTGAGTGAGCACGATCTGGGCGGAAGTCGGGTCTGGCCCAAGGCGCCTTGCTTTGCTGGCTAGCGCCCAGTAAGGTTAGGACAGCAGTAAATCAGAAGGCAGCTCAATTGCCTTCTACTTTTTTAGACTATTGTGCGTCAGCCCGTACCTGAGTTTCGGAGGGCATGAGCATTTGTATATGTATGCTGTGCCAAACGTTGGGGGTTCCTGGTGAAGGCTAAGGACAGTCTGCTGTACTACTATTAGGGTGCCCGTCACAACAGTTCAGTTCGCAAGCTGGTCACCTAGTGGCGTCGTGTACCGAAGGTGATTGAGTACTTCCTGTGTCTTTTTTTGCCCGGCGGAGCAACTCGCAGACATGGCGACCCCGGTACAACAATATATTCGATTATCCGTCGTTTCTCATCAAATTTGGACGGAGGTCGTACGTGGCATGCCTTTTGCTCCCGGGTAATACAGCCACTTTCGACATCACACAAAATCACTTTCGTTCTCAATGTGGCGGCAGGCAAGATCGGGAGCCCGTCAACTTGTGGTCGGCGTGCGCGAATTCCGACGTGCCTCGTCGACGAGCAAACAGAAGGTTGTCTTCTCTGGGATTCAACCCACAGGAACGCCACACCTGGGTAACTATGCTGGTGCCATCCGCCAATGGGTTCATCTCCAAAGCGAACCAGCAGATCAATGTAAACTCATATACTCTGTCGTCGATCTCCACGCCATCACCGGGACCCAGCAAGCAAAGCAGCTCAGACAATGGAAGAGGGAAACACTGGCCGCCTTGATCGCCGCCGGCATTGATCCCGAACGTTCAACATTGTTCTATCAGTCTTCGGTATTAAAAACCGCATTGTCACATCGTTGCTAGATCGAATTCTCAGCACGAACAATGTCGCTGACGGTATCGCTGTTCTAGGTCGCGGCCCATACAGAACTTATGTGGATCTTGAGCTGCACAGCTTCTATGGGTTACCTGTCGCGCATGACGCAGTGGAAGGTCGGTGATATGAATGTCCCATTCTCTTACTTCAGCAACAAAAGCTCCAGCGACTTACCCGCAACAGAGCAAATTATCCTTATCCTCTGATGCAACAATCCTTGACGAGAGTGCCAAAGCATCATTGAAACTCGGCTTATTTTCTTACCCCGTTTTGCAAGCCGCCGACATTCTCGTTCACAGGTTCGTTAGATGCTCTCATTATCCGATCCAGGAGAAATTGTAAGAAGGCAAATGTATTAAGTCGATAATACAGGGCAACTCATGTCCCCGTCGGTGACGACCAAAGGCAGCATCTGGAGTTTGCTCGGGAATGCGCCAACAACTTCAATCATACCTTCGGCTCGCACCTTGTGCCACCTGAAACCATCACTCGTAAGTCTTACCATCCCAGAAAAGGCGAGAAAGGTCTTTGACATTGATCCTTCAAGCGCCTACTCGCCGGGTTATGTCACTACAACACCCGGCCGAGAAGATGTCAAAATCGGCGAAAGATTCCAGGTCACGCATTGTTATCACAGACCGGCCAGAAGATATCCACAAGAAGGTGATGAGCGCCTTGACAGATTCATCAAATATAGTTTCTTACGACCCCCGTGAACGCCCGGGGGTGTCAAACTTGTTGGAAATCCTGTCCGTTTTCGATGGCAAGGGACGGACCCCATCCCACCTAGCCCAAGAATACTCTCAAGCTTCTTTGAAGGATCTCAAGCAGGCTGTTTCTGAAGCTGTCATCTGTGGTCTATCCGGTTTTCGAGAACGATACTTAGACCTTATCTCGGCTGATGAGGGAAGGTACCTTGACTCCGTTGAGGCCCGAGGAGCGGAGAGGGCCCGTCAAAGTGCGGAAGAGACCATGGTTGTTGTCAGAGAAGCCACAGGCCTGTAGGCTGACATCTGGACATTTTCGGATGTGGTATCATTGTATCAACGTGTACAGAATGGTCCCGCGGGTAAACTTCTACTATTTGTAGGGATTCAGCACTTGAAAATATCGTATCCGTGATACAGTCAGATTTCCGCTTTCATGCTGCGCTCGTGGATAGTAAAAGTCCGGCATACTGCAAGGTTTCCAGACCATTTGCCGGCCCGCAGAAACCTGGATGTACTAGACCGTGAGATCAAGACGCGTAGGTGAATTTGGATCCTCTTGAGGCTAGCCACAACTCTCGTACCACCTGTGCTGTCCCTCTTGCGCCTCTCAGGCTATCATTCAATCATACGGGGTTAGTGATTATGACGCATGCGCAGAGATATATTGTCGAAGAATAGTACTGACTTGATAATCTTTTTCAGGAAAACAGCCTTCTCCTCACTCGAAATGTGCTGGCCGGGAAAAGAAGGGTCGAACAAGGCTTGCTCGAGCCAGGCGCGGGCCTTTACCTGATTGCTGACCATCTTTTTCAATGGTTCACCGAGCCTATCCAGCTCACTTCTCGAGGCGTTGCCGCCAATATTTTGAACAATAGACTGTGCAATCATCGGACCCAGTTGAGCAACGGCATGGTCAATTGTCGCTTGCGCTCCCTTATCAGAATCCTTGAGTGACACAAACGTAGCCTGGGTGACTCATTAGTAACTTATCATAGAGACCATGGCTGAAAACATGCCCAAAAATCGGCGGCAGCAGCCTTTGGTAGAGGCTCTCGCCCGTCCAGCACCCTCAATGCATATACGAAGAAGTATTCAGCTAGCGGGAGACATTCGGGACGAAATAGCGCAGTCGGCTCGCGAGATACCAGGCGATTCGTGAACTCGATGCCATTTTGCGCTAGTTCTGTGTCATTCTCTGGTTCTGTGAAGGTTGCTTCTTTAGTGCTGCATCTGAGGCTTGGAACTATTGACTTACCCGGCAGTTGCCGCAAAAGACCTATGACCCATCTGAGTAATTTCGTTCTAATGCCCTCCACGTCGTTTCTTTTCAAGTTTCTCAGAGAACTCAGAAAAGAGCAGGCAGTGCTCACAAACAACCCAATACGAGGCACTTCGGACGTTTGCTGAGCTAAGTAGTCGCAAATAAGTTGTGGTGGGAACACGAAAGGCCCAGTCTCTGACTCAGAAAACCCTGTCTTGAAGACATTGCAGATGCTCTCAGCCACTTCTCCGCTTCGTGGAAAAGAGGCTTGAAGCTCAACGATCACAGACATAATTCTAGACTGTATCTGGCCAAGTCTGGAGCCCTGGTCGACAAAGGTGTGTTCCCTTTCGCTGTCCAGGTCAAGAGGTAGATCTCCAGGTGTCTGCAGACCTTTGCCGACGCTGATGAGACCCCTCAACGACTTCAGGGCCATGTGTAGCGGGAGCTCTGATAACTCAGACAGGGACGAACAACGATGAGTGTCGCACTCGCCCTGGACCTCAGGCGAGCCCAAGGGCATCGATAGCAGGTGTATTGCCCTGCGGGCATCATGTTCGATAAATGAGAGAAGAACGTCTAAGCGATCGAGTCTTTCGTCATCTGGTGATACGGCTTGTATGACGGCAGCTATGGCACCTAATATTCGCTCGCTAGCCAGACAGTCTAGCTGACCCTGTGAGGTAATAGACTGATACTGCCCTAAGAACGCACTCGCCTCAGGTGCCAGAACAGATCGAGAGGAGAAGCACAGCCTCTGAATGGACCTCGCAGCAGACCCTGCCAGATGAGGATCGTTCAGAACAGAGAAAAGCAACGTCAAAGCGGCCGGAAGACTTTGGGATTCTCGCTCGAAGTAATCAGAATATCGCTCAATCAAAGATATACACGTCTGACGAGTACGCCCTGGCATGATTTCTCGCGATGCCTGGAGAAGTTCAAAGAGAGGCGAGGAAAAAACGGCTCGGAGAGTGTCGTCACATCCGGCGTCTCCAGAGACACATTCGGCCAAGGATCCGAGACAGAAGGCGGCAGCCTCGAGATCTGGCCAGGAGTTGGGCGACATAGACTGCAGCGTTAAGTTTGCAAAGGTCGAAATCAAGGGCGGACCAGTCACGGTGAATGTTGACTGCAGAAGGTCTGCAACATCCTTCCTTGCATCGCCAAAGCCTGCCCGATCCGCTGAATCCCAGCTAGCTAGCACACTGGGTGGCGGATATGCCACTCGTCGCCAAACAGTCGACACAGCCTCGAGCACGTGAGAAGTGGCTGAGGACACCCATGCTTTTGAATCCGAATCCGAATAGATGCAGTCCGTCAAGGTCTCCACGTATGTAGACCAGAACTCCAGGGCGGGAACGAATATCTTGTCTTCGCTAACAGGATAACCATGGGCCGACAGCAGACCTCGAAGGCGTACCAGGAAGTTTGATGACCGGTTGTCCACACTGTGAATGAGACTCTGAACCTTGGAGTCACCCAGCGAGATCATAAGCTGCCCGTACTGAATCGAGTCGAAGTCAAAGTCGCCTTCAACTAGACGGCGGTATCTTTCATGAGACCACTGAGTCTCAAAAAGGGAAAAAAGGGACTCGTAGTGGCTCTCGGTCAAGAAAACCGAGTAATTGGACAGAACGTCGGCAAGTAATTCCACCGCGACTTCATATAAATCTTCATCGCCTAGGGCCACGATCGTAGGCTGTATCAAAGTGCGGAGAGAGGCAACTAGCTCGTCATTCTGCGAGGACACTCGCTGAGAGAACCAGACCCATGACTGCAAAAATAGTGAGCAAACTACCCTATTGAAGGCCACCGTGTGTGTGTAAAGAGCCGAAATACCCACCTGCAGACAAGTCATGGAATCTCGGCGAATGCTGCTATCCGCAGGATCAGCGAACGTGCCGTGATTGAGCACATAAGACATCAACGCCAAGGCATCTGGGGCGTTGCTCATCAGGGAATTATATAAGCCCGAACTGCAAAAATGTGAGTTGAAAGTTTCCTTAAGCGGATGGGCGGCGTGGTACTGTTTGGCTGAGTTCATCTCAACCTTAGATGACTCGTCTACTAAGGTTCCCGAAAACCACAAAGCAGCTTGCAGTTTGCGCGGGTGAAGACTTTGGAGCAGACCCGACAAATCCGACGTCGGGCTGATACGCTCTTGTGACAAATGAGCACCTTCTGACAAGGACCAGCAGAGATGACGAATGCAAGATTCCCAACGAGTTGGAAAGTGCAGGAAGAAAGTGACAAGTGCCGACGAAAGCTTTCTGATGACCAAAGCACCAGATCCGTCGTCGAGTGATTTGACAAACCAACCGACAAGATTTTGCAACAGTTCGGACGCATCATTGCTGTCTAGAGACGAGCTGTGTGATTCTGCCATTAGCACAATATACAAACCTTTTAGAAGTCAGGGTGGGGGTGTACCTCTCGGTATTCAACTTGACGATGAGGGTAAGGGCCCCAAAGAACTTGACTTTGTCGTCGTTATGGCTCAAGAGATCGCGAGCAATCCACCAGCCGGAGGGTGATCTCTGCAGACGGTGCAATACTTCCTGTATGCGGGCAATGGCCTCGGGGGGTGCTGGCTCATAAAGAGCGAGAACAAGCTGGTAATCATTAGCAATAGGGAAAGGAGTACCGATGGTGAGACACTTCGCTTACGGCCTCCGCCTCCTGGATTGTTGTTGGTAGCCGTCCGTCCATAGCAGAAAGATTGGAACAGAACTCAAACAACTGCGTGGGATGTTTTCATGTTGATCTACCTAGGTCAGGCGGAGTCAGAGAACTGAGTGTGTTAAAGCTAACAATGGTGAGGTGGGTTCGGTAGTGATGAGCCTAGTTGTGATAGTGGGTGGGGTTTGGTCACAATTTGGTAGTCTCTGTAATTGTGTTACACGAGTACCTATCAGAAGTAGGCGTGGCGGCAAACGAGAAGCAGATAGTTAGAGACAGCCCAGGTACGATAATCAGGCGATGACGGTTGTCTGATGATACTGACTGCACAACGGCATTTGTGACGCCTCAGGCTCTGGAGATGCAATTATGCGTGTGATGGGGGTAAAAAAAAAAAAAAGAAAAAAAAAAAAGAAAAGGAGAACAAAGCATACAGACTTAATGCCCTTAGCGGGTACCAGCTGTGCTTGTTGTACCTTAACGTATATTAAGTAGAGACACTCTTCACAGGGGTACTATTACGGCTGCAGTTATAGTTAGCAGGCATCTGTCCTACTATGCAGTAGATACCTTAGGTGCATACCACCCGGGCCATCTTAGGTAAGTAGGCAGATACCTACTGGTAGGCAGATATCCTGGTGTCTTGGCTTGTCTACGCTGCCGACCTAAACTACCTACCTTAGGTACACAGCCTACCTAACATAACTGATGACGACCGCTTCATATTGTCGGGTTGGACCTTACGTAGGCATCTCAGGCTACCTAGGTAGCTAGGCACATCGACCCACGAATACCTTACCTCCCCACTGGAGATAGGTAAATATAATTGCACCAAAATCAGCGAGCCCCTCAACCGCTGGCATTGGTTCTTCCAGACCAGGTGTCCCATAGCAATAGCACTGTGAGTTCGCTGTAGGTGCTCCACTACCTACCTACCTACTAGGTAGGTAGACGCCGCATCTACCCGTCTCACTGGAAGACCCCTCACGCCCCTTACGCCCCTCACGCCCCTCGTTCCCCTCGTTCCCCCGCCAAACGACTCTGCCTGCCTTTCCTTTTGTCGAGTTGAGACATCGCCTCTGCCTGTTCCGTCAACCTCATCCCATTACTAGGTGCCCTCTTCACCTCATGATCTGGAGCAGTTTCCGTCCTACTAGTGTAATTTTCCGTCGGATTTTCTCGAATTCCAGCGCAAGCCGGTCTTCTTCAACCCTGCTGTCCCACGGTTGTCGTGCCTCTCCGACCAGTGGCCTCCACCGTCGAGCATTGCATCTTTCTGCGGTCCTTGATATGGAGCAAATCAATACTACCGGTCGCCTCTCGACCCTGAGAGAGTTGATGAAAGAGCGCAACATCGATGTCTATGGTAGTCTTCCCTTAATTCTCAAATATTAGCCATATCATCGCCTTTTGCTAATAGCTTCGTTGTGTTCACAGTCATTCCCTCCGAAGATTCCCACTCGTCTGAGTATATTGCTGGATGTGATGCCCGCCGCGAATTCATATCTGGCTTCAGCGGCTCCGCCGGCTGCGCTGTTGTGACTTTGGATAGAGCCGCACTGGCCACAGACGGCAGATACTTCAACCAAGCCTCCAAACAATTGGACCAAAACTGGCTGCTCTTGAAGCAGGGCCTGCAAGATGTGCCTACCTGGCAGGAATGGTCGGCTGAGCAGTCCGCTGGCGGCAAAGTCGTTGGTGTCGACCCCGAGTTGATCACTGCTTCAATCGCCAAGAAGCTTGCAGAAAAAATCAAGAGATGCGGTGGCTCAGATCTGGTAGCCCTCGATGAAAACTTGGTCGACTTGGTCTGGGCTAAGGACCGCCCCGCAAGACCCAAGAATCCTGTTGTCGTCTTACCGGAGACCTTCAGTGGCAAGGACGTCAAGTCTAAACTGAAGGATTTGCGACAGGACTTGGAAAAGAAGAACTCCCATGCCTTCGTGGTATCTATGCTGGACGAAATTGCCTGGCTCTTCAATCTTCGCGGTGATGACATTCCGTACAACCCAGTCTTCTTTTCCTACGCCATCATCACCAACGAGAGTGCCACCCTCTACATCGACAAGTCAAAGCTAGGTGAGGCCACCCGTGCGTATCTTTCGGACAACGGCATCGCAATCAAATCATATGAGAGCATCTTCGAAGCCATAAGTGCACTGCGCTCTTCTGTGGACAGAGCTGACGACGGTCTCGTCTCCAAGCGCTTCATCATTTCCACAAAGGCGTCGTGGGCTTTGAAGCGCTCTCTCGGCGGTGACGGACTGGTTGATGAGGTTCGCAGTCCAATTGGAGATTCGAAGGCCGTCAAGAACAAGACTGAGATGGCTGGCATGCGTGCGTGCCACATTCGAGACGGCGCGGCTCTCATCGAGTACTTTGCCTGGCTTGAGGACCAATTGGTCGCCAAGAAGGCCGTCCTAGACGAGGTCCAGGCCGCCGACAAGCTTGAGCAGCTTCGCTCGAAACATAAGGATTATGTTGGTCTTTCTTTTGACACCATCTCATCTACCGGTGCGAAGTAAGTGGACGTGGTCTACCGAGCGTGCCCTTCCAGGGCCGTTGCAGCTCCCTCACCAACGTCGGTATCTAACTTGTTCTTTAGTGCCGCTGTTATTCACTATAAACCCGAGCGCGGCGCCTGCTCTGTTATCGACCCCAATGCTATTTATCTTTGCGATTCCGGTGCTCAATTTCTTGATGGAACTACAGACACAACAAGAACCCTGCACTTTGGACAGCCGACAGAGGCCGAGAAGCTCGCTTACACATTGGTGCTGAAGGGCAACATTGCGCTAGACACTGCGATTTTCCCCAAAGGAACAACCGGGTTTGCACTTGATTGTCTGGCTCGTCAACACCTCTGGGTTAGTTTTGATGATCGATTACCCTAGCGATGGACATCTACTGACGTGTGCTTAAAGAGAGAGGGCTTGGACTACCGCCATGGGACAGGGCATGGCGTGGGCTCGTACCTCAACGTGCACGAGGGACCCATAGGAATCGGTACTCGGGTGCAATTTGCCGAAGTTGCCCTCGCACCTGGCAACGTTGTTTCCATTGAGCCAGGGTTCTACGAAGACGGGTCATACGGTATTCGAATCGAAAACGTGGCCATGGTCACGGAAGTGAAAACGAAGCATTCTTTTGGCGACAAACCGTACCTAGGATTTGAGCACGTCACCATGGTACCATACTGTCAAAACCTCATCGAACCCAGCCTCTTGACGGCAGAGGAGAAGAAGTGGCTCAACGCCCACAATGCGGATATCTTCCAGAAGACCAGGGATTTCTTTGCACATGACCCCTTGACGCTGGCATGGCTGACAAGGGAGACTCAGCCCTTGTAGTGATAGGGTGAGCTCTAGAACCGCACGAAGGCGGCGAGGGTGAAGGTGGCGGCAAATGAGAGTCGGAATACGGAGTTTCGGAAAGGCTTGTTCGATGCAACCGTGTTGAATCGTTCTTTCAGGCCAAGCAGCTGAGGCAAGTCTATGCCGTATCTGTTTGCAAGCTGTAGCGGCCAGATCAGTCCATGATTAGAATTCGCAGAAGATTAAGCAAGGGCATTACGTAGAAGGCAAAGATGGTGAGACCAGCGAGCAGAACTAGTGTATGAGACAGAAAACCGACAAGAAGTCCAGCCCCGAACCCTTGACAGTGTACGTCAGTAATGCAGTCCGTTAGTATCAGGGATGGAACATGGCTTATGTACCAAACATGCTGCCGCTTGAGAGCTGTCTCATCGCCGCTGGACTCAAGCCTCCTCGAGGCTGGCTACGCACGCGCTGGGCAGGCGAGGTTTTCTGAGCGTGATCCGAATCGAAGCGAATGGGGGGGCGCCGGGATCTTAGAGCGCAGGTAATGCCGATGCCGGTGCTGATGGGCAGCACCAAATGTCGGCCAGGAAAGTGAAGGGGAAAAAGACGGCCCATTGACACGGATTGCGAACGCACAGTGTTGCGGTGATAGAAGTTTGAAAGTCCAAGCGAACTATTGTTGTAAATGTGGATGAAGCTTTATTCCTGACCTACGTAGGAAGTTGTAGATTAGTACTATTTGGCTGCATGGTGACGTACCTATCATATTTTCCTTACTAAGGCAAGTGTTCGAAAGCTGATAAGACGAATTGAGATGCCAGCATATGTGCCTCACCGATGGCTTAGGTAAGGTGCCAAACATTTGGGGAAGAACCCCAATTACCTAGTAGGGCACCGACAGCCAAACCGAAAGAGCCGTATGCGGTACAGAATATTCTCTGCGTAAACCGCGTACTCTCCCCACGTGTCGTTATTGCGTTTGAATTAAGGTTTCGTTCCATTTGCAAAGCGCTCGAGATATACACATGCTTCCGTTATTCTTCTGTTGCCTCTCGAGTTTGAGCACTAATACCGCCAACGCCTTATACTCCGAACCAAATTTTTGCGAAATAAGATCACAACCGCCAACCTCCACATGCCATGGGTATCCGTGCAACCGCGATATAAGAAAAGTAAAGGTGGTCAACTAGGGGCGCGACACAATGACCTTGATACAAAGCAGATGCTGAATCGTTCTTTTCCAAGTACAGAGTACTCAACCTAAGCCTCCCCAAACACCACGTATGCGCCGCGCAAGCTGTATGTCTTTTTGCATAATAGTGACTCTCTTGGCGTGTATGGCGCAAAGGTTTGTGTCCTCGAAGAGATGAACCAAGAAAGCTTCCGCGGCCTCTTGGAGAGCTTGAATGGCATGCGATTGCCATCGCATTGGTGGCTGATCTCGGGGAATGACCGACTCGGCAATCTCGCGAACCTTGATAATAAGTTAGGCGATCATCATAACATAAATTCGCATGGCTAATCTACTTACGAGACGTGAAAAGGGAAGTCGACGCAAAAGAAGATCAGTCCCGCTTTGGTACTTTCGAATCTCCCTGAGGGCTACAGTTCCGGGGCGATAACGTCTCTTTCCACGGTTCGGAATTGGGTCGCCGGCTGCGAGTGGTCAGCACACCTTGTTAGGGCAAAAGATTTCGTGAACGTGGAGTGAACCGTACGCTGAACATCGCTCTGTCGCGATTTGCGGCGACCAGGATCTGACTGCCTTGCTTTCTTGGGGGGCATGGCTACGGGGTACGTAAAGGGGCGTGGGTAAAGCACCCGGAGGTTTCACCGGTCGAGGGAAGATTGATATTGATTGCGAAAGGCGAGAAGTGTAGATGAACCAAGGTTGAATTGCGGCGGTTGCGATAGCGAGCTGTTAGGCCAATCGATTCGGCAGCAGTGTAGTCAGGAGGGTTGTTGCGAGCTAAATGATGCTGCTGTATCCGGAATGGAAGTCGAGCACTCGTTGAATTCAGAAGGATAGCAGAAGTTGAAGGATGCGAAATAAGGGGGGGGGAACAATGCGAAAGGTTGGAAAGGAGCAGAGTGACTTAAAGGAGATGGATTGGACGATGGTGAGGCGCGCAAAGGAGTCAATTGACCGTTGCCAGCCCCGCGATTTTCCAATTCAGTTTGCGACAACGCGTTGGTCGCGTGCATCTCGCGCGTCATGTTTAATTAAGGTCGGGTTGGCAGGCATGCCCATGCGCGAGCCGATCTGCGTATGCCCCTATGCTTCTCTAGGGCATATTAATTTAGCAACCGCAACAGTCTAGCTGGTTAATGCAATATATCAAGATCCTAATTGACCCACGCCAGCCTTGAGTTGCCCCGCTCTTGCCGTCATCGGCACCTGCGCCCCCCTGTACCCATAATTGGCAACGGAAGGCCGGTGCAGTGTTCTGGGCGTTATGGAGATCTGATTGATGGGGCTCCAAAGGCCACCTCGCTCTACGTCTATCTCTCCAAACCTACACATGCAACGTCGGAAGGATTGAACCCCAACGAAACCCAGGGCGACAGCTAAAGGACAACTTGGGTGCATTTCTTCCTGAATTTCTTCAGAACGAAATTATCCTCTTCCCAGCCACTGCCTCTCGCCCTGCTAATCCACGTCCAATATTCCACAGCTTGCACCCGTTTGCTCCGCCTCCGGTTGCTTGAATCCGACATTCCCAACTTCGCTGCGACGCCTGGGAGCCATACTTTCTGGGCGATGCGCGTGCCTTCTCGATCTTCAGCCTGCCTTCTCTGAAGCACATCATCCTTCGAACGCCTTCCCACACAAAATGGATCAGATGATGGGTGACGGGGGCCGCTTCCCTCTGGAGACGTGGTTCTGGGAAATGCCCATCTGCACAAGATGGTGGACAACAGCAACTGTTTTGACTAGCGCATTGGTCCAGTGCCAGATGGTGACTCCGTTCCAGCTATTCTACAGCTTCCGAGCAGTATTCGCCAAGTCACAGGTTGGTGCTTCACGGTCTCTCTCGCTGCCCGCTTTGAAAACCCAAGTAACTAATGTCTTTGTGTTTCTGTTTGCAGTATTGGCGTCTTCTGACAACCTTTCTCTACTTCGGGCCCTTCTCCCTCGATCTCCTCTTTCACGTCTACTTCCTACAGCGATACGCCCGACTTCTGGAGGAATCTTCAGGCCGTTCGCCCGCTCATTTCTCATGGCTCCTGGTCTACGCCATGACCAGCCTGCTACTTCTGTCCCCGCTGGTGTCAATGCCATTTCTTGGCCATCCCCTGTCATCAACTCTGGTTTACATATGGTCGCGACGGAACCCGGATACGCGATTGAGCTTTCTGGGCCTGTTGGTTTTCACAGCTCCATACCTTCCTTGGGTTCTCATGGCCTTTAGCTTGATCCTGCACGGCTCCATTCCCAAGGATGAGATCATGGGTGTCGTTATCGGCCACATCTGGTACTTCTTCTCCGATGTCTATCCACCCCTGCACAATGGTTCGCGGCCATTTGACCCCCCAGGATGGTGGAGGCGACTGTTCGAGAGGCGACCAGCGGATGAGACTGCAGATGGCATTAACAACGACATTGTCGTTGCGGGCGGTCCAGAGCTCGCCCCCGAGGTTCGATAAAAGGCGAGTAGGAATCAGCCCTTTACTGAAGAAACGCATGATACCGGGAGGGAGGGGCTTTGCCCACAGCATGGAGTGGCTACCGCGGCGTTTGGGTCAGTCGGTTGCAACGCTACAGCACACTGCCTGTTCGCATTCACCTGATTTCATCAACAGCATGCCCGGCCATCCAGTCAGTCACGGGGAAACAGAACACGACAGGTACCAGCTTGAAGCATATTGCATTTTAGAGACATACTATAGAGTCATTCGAATCCCCCACTCCAGCTGTTTGAAGCACGATCGGATGTCTCTTGTGTATGGGCTACACTGGCTTGCATTATCGGTTTATTCGTGTGAATCTGTCAAGGTGTCGTTTACTTTTCAGATGCATCCGCAGCGAGCATCATCGGGAGACGGGAGGATTTGATGCAGGCCCGGAGGGCTAGAGTACCTAAGGCACCTACCTACCTTGAGAACCACGTGCTGATGCCCCGCTGAAGATTGGACGACGGAGTGCCTGAAGCAACTCTCAACTCCCTAGTGTACCTACCTTAGGTAGGCAAGTGTGGTGCTGCCCGTGTTGGGTAGCAAGTTACCCCACCTTCACAGCCAATTGCGTCATTTCCATTGTAAAAGTCCACCCCTAACCAAACCTTTATTCGTCCTACTTCTCTTAACCATTCAATATCCTGCCTACATGTCGACTTGGTAGCTGTTTGCTCGGGAGCTACTGGATATACAGACTTTCCTGCACCTGAACAACTTCCTACTTCCTGGCCAAAATTCTCGCCTCTGTCCCGCCCGAAACTTGTGCCCATACGTGATCAATCACCCCTCGTAACACTACAAACCATGAGGGCATATTGGTATGATAATCTGGCTGTAAGTGGGCTTTCCGAAACACCTGCTGTCGGCTTGCCAAAGGCTACTTGCTCGATGACTCATCGAGCTAACTTGTGTACTGGTTGCAGGGCGACCAGCGTCTAGCGCACGACTCGGGCAAAGAGGTCACGGTCGAACAGCTGAAGAAGCTTGGCGTTTACTACCATCAGATCCCCAACATTGATGGCGTCAACAAACTCGCGTTGGACCGAGGATATAGGAACAGGGATGAGATTATTGTTTCGCCGGAGAAGATGGGTGATGTCTACGAAGAGAAAGTGAAGTCCTTCTTCCATGAGCACCTGCACGAGGACGAGGAAATTCGCTATGTCCGCGATGGTCACGGGTTCTTTGACGTCAGGAGTGCGGACGATCAATGGGTTCGAATTCGTGTCGAGAAGGTATGTTGTATTCTCCGCCAAACGTTTTGGCAGGAATTGTTCGATCTAGACGGCTGACCAGGATTCAGGACGATCTTATCATCCTTCCTGCAGGCATCTACCACCGATTTACCACTGACGACTCTAATGTGAGTGATGACCCTCGAACATTCCCGACGTCAAAATCTTGCTAACAATGTTATAAAGTATATCAAGGCAATGAGGCTTTTCAAGGATGAGCCCAAGTGGACACCTTTGAATCGCACATCAGACCTTGATATGAACCCGCACAGGGAAGAGTATGTCCAGCAATATCTTCAAAGCAGTTTGCCGGCATAGACCGGAGGTGACGAGAGAGGAGGCTGAGGGGCATGTGACCCTTTGTATTTCGACAGTCTAGCCAATGATGAGCCGCGAATGGAAAGGGAATTGAGAACTCTTGCGCATGAAAGAGATTCAGGAAACTCCTGACCATGCCCATCATGTACGCAACAACGTGTGTTGGAGTTCGTGTCTCGTATCGTGGGATGGACTGCAGGATATTTCCACATATCAGTAAGTGGGATATCACGGACTAAACATTTCGTCTCAGAGATACATAACGTTATCGCGTTTGCCGAAGGTGCATTCGAACGCAAGACCTGGAATGTGGTTTTGCTCTGGCCACCTGGCGCGTTGTCTCATGAGGACATGTATGCTGTCCTCATGTCGTAACTTGTCCTTGTGCATCCTGGATAGAATCGGCCATGAACTCATCGTGATCTGCCTTGCTGTCCTTGCCATCCACTTCAACACCCGTTTCAGGCGCAACTGGGAAGTTCAGATGCTTCCAGTCCTCGAGCTCCTCGGTGACCGACCGCAGCCTGTCCCGTATGCTTTCAATGGCATAGCTGCCAAGAAGCAACCTCAGCGGAGGATATGAGCAGTGAGCGAGCTGCCAAACAAGCTCCGCGCACTTGACGGCGCTTGTTGGTTGCCGATCTCCTAGCCATTGGACCATTCGCTTTGCATGCAGGGCTGGTGAGGTTGCTTGTGCGTAGGCTTCGCTGGCCGGTTTGATGAGGAAGTGACCCCATGTCGGTAGAGGCGTGGGCATTGTATCTGGCTCGTCTCTTCGCACAAAACCTGGCTCGACAAGAGTCGCCTTTACGTTGAACGAGTCGGTCTCGTACAGCATGGCCTCTATGAGACCCTCAACGGCATACTTGGTAGCACAGTACGGACCCAGACCCGGAACGCCCAGAGCACCTGAAGTTGAGCTGAAGATCAAATATCGACCAGCGTTCTGGTGGCGAAAGTAGGGCAGACTGGCCTGTATGATATTGAGAGTACCCATGAAGTTGGTCTCGAACTGGTTACGAATCTCATGCTCGTCTTGGTCCTCACAGGCCCCAATTACGCCGTACCCGGAGCAGTTCGCGACGACATCAACCCGCTGAAATCGATCCAAACTTTTCTCGATAACGCGGGCAACTGAATCTCTGGCTCGTACGTCACACAAGAGACCCAGGCAACTGTCGTTGTCCTGTGCTGACATATCTTCGGGAGTTGTCTCAAAGACTCGACCGACAGAAGTGACGAGGTCGCCATGAGATAAGGCGGACTTCACGAGTGACCGGCCCATATGCCCAGTGCCACCGAATACCTGTGAGGGGTTTAGATGCGGTATAGGTCACTGCAAGACTTTCCGAACTCACCACCCACACCAGTTGTTTTCTGGGGGCCTCGAATTGAGGTGGATCACAACTTGCTGGAAGTTGAAGTTTGGCTCTAGCCGCGCCCTCTGTTGTTGAATGACCTGCGCTGTGTTCGCTTGATACGTCCATCGTCTTTTAAAAAAATTCTCGAGAAGACAAAGCCTGGTCTATGTTATAGCAAGATGATTTAGTAGCAAGTGCATCTAGTATCGGGATCGATGGGATGAATTTCCTGCGTTAAGTGGCAAAGATACTGCAGCAAGTTTGGCTCTTGGCAATTCGTACGGCGAGTGTTGGAGGTGTCATGTCCCGGGAGTTGAGCTGTGCGGTTGAGAGCATGCCGATCTTAAGGTATCACCGTCAATGCTAGGCGTCCAGTAGGTACCAACATGCCGACCCAGGTTCCGTCGCCTGAGATTCCCCGGTGTCTCCACATGCCTGGGACGGGAACATGCCTACCTACTCAAGTAGGTACGTAGTTACCTAGGCACCACACTACCCAGGGAGGGAGAGCAGGCGCACTGGAAATGCAATAAGAAGATATCCAGTCTAAAAATGCAATTATCGACATGAAGCTGAACCAACTGTGGTCCCTTGCTTCACATTATAGGTCAACCCATTACCAGGGGAGAGCGCTGCCCGCCGAAGCACTACTAGCGGCCCAGCAACTCAATTTGCATTTTGACACTGTAGCCTGTATGAGCACGGATACAGAGAACCTGGCCACGCCGCAATTTGTGGCATGAAATTCCACGACCCTTGATAGGTGCACGCGTGTTCCCTTGCGTTGCATTCCCTTCCCGTACCGCCCGTCTTCGCTCGCGATTTTCGCTCGCGAATATCTCCGTGCCCCCTTTACGCTGTGCACCGTTCCTGTTCGCTACATCTTCGTCCCGCAGCCAGACTTTGCTCTTCAGTTGCAACCCGCCGTACGAGGAACGGCTCGCCGAGGACATCAATCATTTTTGACGCAAGTCATAAATCCACTGCCTCCCGTCGGCAAAACCTCCAGTGCTGCCCCTCACGAGTTGACGACTCAGCCCTTCTCTCCCGTCAGGCGCAATTGTGCTCCCGATTCTCTAGCCCCAAGCTCGAGCCAACGAAACTGAAGCCAGCTTGCGTTCATCACCGACAACACCTATTTAACAATCTCAACCATCGGCAACCATGTCGGACAAGAAGAATGAGGACTACGAGCTGCGCGGGTCCGACTCGTTCGGTGGAGAAAAGGATGGCTTCTTGTCCCAGCGACCACCTCCCAGGCCAAGATCAAACCTGGCCTCGCCTCTGAGCAAGATCGATAACAGCCCTGGCGTTTCCATCCTGGCCTATTGCTTCTCTTCCATTAGTATGACTGTGGTCAACAAGTACGTTGTCTCGGGTCAGTTTTGGAATCTGAACTTCCTTTATCTCGCCGTTCAGGTATGCTCACCATTGGCCCTCTCCTGTGGATGCTTCTAACCGCGCGCTATGCAGTCCATCGTTTGTATCCTCACCATCGTCGTCTGCAAGAACCTGGGAATGATCACGAACCTGGCTCCTTTTGACACGGGAAAAGCGAAGAAATGTAACTTTACACACTACTCGAAAGCCACCAAGCTGTGCAGTGCAGGCTGACACGTCCACAGGGTTTCCTATCGCGCTTCTACTCGTCGGCATGATCTACACAGGCACGAAGGCCCTCCAATTCCTCTCAGTTCCTGTCTACACCATCTTCAAGAATCTGACCATCATTGTCATCGCATATGGCGAAGTTTTGTGGTTTGGCGGAAGCGTCAGCCCCCTTTCGCTTTTGTCCTTCGGCTTGATGGTTCTCAGCTCTGTCGTGGCTGCTTGGGCTGATGTTCAACACGCGCTGGGTGGCGGCTCGCACACTGCTGAGGCTTCTGCTGCTGTCTCGACGTTGAATGCCGGATACGCCTGGATGGGCATGAATGTTTGCTGCACAGCCGCATACGTGCTCGGCATGCGCAAGGTTATCAAGAAGATGAACTTTAAGGACTGGGACAGTAAGCTACCCCGAGAACCCCGGCTGTTTACATGCGACAGCCCAGAGGACGATGGCTGATAAATGCTTCATACAGCAATGTTCTACAACAACTTGTTGACAATCCCTGTCCTCATCGTTTGCACGCTTTTGACGGAGGATTGGTCGTCAGCGAACATCGCCAAGAACTTCCCCATCGAGACTCGCAACAGCCTCTTCGTCGGCATGATCTACTCCGGACTTTGCGCAATCTTTATTTCGTACTGCTCGGCTTGGTGTATCCGAGTCACCTCCTCTACGACATACTCCGTGGTTGGCGCTCTCAACAAACTTCCCATCGCCATAAGCGGCCTCGTCTTCTTCGATGCGCCGGTCACATTTGGCAGCGTGTCGGCTATCATTATTGGGTTCGTCAGCGGCATCGTGTATGCGTGGGCCAGAATTCGCCAGAGCGAGGCGGCCAAGATGTCTTTGCCAACTACACAACCCATGAGCGCGAGCTCTCAAAGCAACAAGGATGCGAACTCGTAGAACGGTTGTGGGTTCCTGATAGAAAAGCGGAACTTGGCTTGCCAAGTCTCGTGGGTGAGCATTGCGGCAGCCGAATAAATTGCTGGTTGAGCAACGTGCATAGCGCATCTATGGTACCTAAGCGGTATTGCCTCAACGCAAGCGAAGGATGCCCGTCTGGCTTTCCCCACGCTGATCGCCAATAGATGCTCGAAATGTTGTATAGTAATACGTTTGACCTCGAGATGCATAGGCGGGGAGAGGCTCAAGTGACAAGATGTGAGCCTAGGCGTTGAGTCGTCAAACTGCGCTCCACCCGTGTAGTCTTAGGCGGATAGAGTAGCTGTGTTTTAAAGCCACGACTTTATCGTGTACCACAGAAACCATTCAACAAGCCGAAGCGGTGAGATCGGTTGGGGCGCTTGTGCAGACATAATATTGGTTTCCAACGGGGAAGCCGTAGGGTGCTTTGGCTCGTAGAATTAAAACTCCGTCCTTTGTCAGACAACATAAGACGGCAGCGGCGTCGGTGTCGGGGAAGACAAGATGATTTTTGGTGTGGCTACGCTGGTCTTTTGGTGTAAATTAACGTCGGTCTTTTTGTGCAGGCACCCTCAACACGTTCTGCCATCTTCGTGAAGCTTGTTTCCGAAACACGTGGGGTGGGCTTCGGCTGGCTAGGTAGGGCGGAGACTTCAACCGGGAGGTACTCGGTACCATGCCTTGCCTACATACCTTAGTACATGACCACCCGCCAAAACACCTTTGCCCCACCCCTTCCGCCATGCCAAACTCGCTGTCTGAACGGCCTTAAAAGCCAGCCCTGAGCAGGACTGAGGTTAGCTAGGTGGACAGGTTAATAATACGTCACACGTGCTCTTTGCAACCACACGTATTTCGCTGCTGCTCTGGGCATGCGCAGCTACTTGTCAGGTTGGGATGACCCGCAACTCTTCTCCCTACTAGCACTTCAGTATTTTTCCCTTCGGCTGAAGTACCTTACCCACAGGCACCTACTGATCGGCTTCAGTCACATCCTGGCTTGTCTCCCATCCCACGTCTTCATTCTCTCGTCCGAACGTTCCCACATGACCTAGCCTGTTGTGCTAACCACCGACTTTCGCTCCTAAGAACAGGACCCAGAACAAACTGCTACTTCTCCTGCTCAGCAGACGACATTCCGCGCCGTTCGCCCAACACAATTTCCCCGACCAGCTTCGAAGAGATGGACTAAGAAGCATTTGAACTCACCCGCTCTAACCTTCCAGTCCCTCGCTATCGCCAGCTTTGTCTTTGACGTACATGATGTTGCCCTTTATTAACAAGCGTAGGCTATTTGGCATTCCTTGAGATTGAAGTCTTTCGCAAGCTGACCCACGGTGTACCGGCAGCATTCGAGCTACTATCTTCGCGCCTGGGCGCATCGCCCGACGAACGTTAGTCTTCCCTCGCGAGAGTTTACCTACGATCGAATATATACCTATCCATATAGGCCAGCTCCAAGTATGCCGTGCAAGCTGACGTCTTTCTTCTGGCAGTCAAGCTCGTCTTCTCGTTCCTCATATCATACCCTCTCGCCGGTCTACTCAAGAGGGTTCCAGATGCCCGGCCAGACCAGAAGAATCTATTCATAGTATGGTATGACACACCTGGAGCTCCTGCGCATATATTTAATTCCTAGCTCACTACGCTGACCATGTTATTTGTGACCTAGCACCTCCGCCTTCTACTTGGTCGGACTATTTGATCTATGGAGTGGCGTGCGCACCCTTGCCATCAGCTCCATTGGTGTCTACTGCATCGCCAAGTATCTTCGCAGTAGCCCGTTCATGCCTTGGATTGGTTTCGCCTTCGTCATGGGCCACATGTCCATCAGCCATATCGCTCGCCAACTCGCCGACAGCCCCTCATCTGTCGATATCACTGGCGCGCAAATGGTTCTGCTCATGAAGCTTAGTGCCTTCTGCTGGAATGTGGCAGATGGCCGACTGTCAGAGGACAAACTGTCTGATTTCCAGAAGGAGAGACGCTTGGTTGAGCTTCCAGGTCTTTTGGATTATGCCGGATATGTCCTCTTCTTCCCTGGGCTTCTCGCTGGTCCCGCCTTCGATTACGCCGAATATCGCAAATGGATAGACACCACCATGTTTGACCTACCTGCCCAGGTCGATCCCTCAAAGAAGCCTCCTGTGCGGAAGAAGCGGAAGATCCCTCGCAGTGGTACTCCAGCTGCATGGAAGGCTGCGAGCGGCTTGGGCTGGATTGGTCTCTTCATGGTTCTCTCGGGTTACTACCCCATCAGTTACTTGACGGGGCAGTCCTATATGGATCTTCACTTCTTACGTAGAGTTTGGGTCCTGCACATGACCGGTTTGACGGCTCGTCTCAAGTATTACGGCGTTTGGTCCTTGACTGAAGGCGCTTGCATCTTGGCCGGCTTGGGCTACCATGGTGTTGATCCTGTCACCGGCAAGGTGTCATGGAACAGGCTACAAAACATCAATCCATGGGGAGTTGAGACGGCACAAAACACGCGTGCATATCTGGGCAACTGGAATATGAACACCAACAACTGGTTGAGAAACTACGTTTACCTTCGAGTAACGCCTATCGGAAAGAAGCCTGGTTTCCGCGCCAGTCTGATCACGTTCGGCACGAGCGCATTATGGCATGGGTTTTATCCCGGGTATTACCTGAGCTTCATTCTCGCCAGCTTTGTCCAGACTGTTGCAAAAAGTGAGTTGCAGTGGATGTGAATTGGCGATTCAAACAAGAACTAATTCGACATAGATTACCGCCGATACTTCCGCGCATTCTTCATCGACCCCAGCACCGGTTCCCCAACGACCACCAAGATCTACTACGACTGTTTATCGTTCGTTGTAACTCAGTTGGGCATGTCCTTTGTTGTGGCTCCCTTTCTCGTTCTCCAGCTGTCAGGTTCGATTCTGGTCTGGAGCCGCGTTTATTTCTACACTATTATTGGCACAGTTGTCTCTATGGCCTTCTTCGCCTCCCCGGCGAAGCAGCTTTTGAAGAAGCATTTGGAAGAGCGTCAAGGAAAGACCGGGGCTAAGCTCACCCGTTCTCTCAGCCAGGACAGTCTTTCTGGCCGGGAGCCGGTCTTAGGAGTCTCAGCTGATCCTCAACGAGAGATCGACGAAGCCATGGAGGAGATCAAGGCAGAAGTAGAGGCCAGGCAGAAAAGGAAGGCTGCTTGAAATCGAGCCTATCACTTATACAAAAGCCTCTCATACCTGAAAGGTAAATCACGACGCGATCGTTGTGTTACAGGCTTCAATGGATGTGGTAGATTTCGATGTGGAAAGTATTGGGCAGATAAGTTACATGTGCAACACACTACGGGGAGCATATATCCTGTGACGGAGAACTTTGAGAAACGGCCCATGGGCGCTAGTCATTAGACATTTCGTGCTACATAGCTCCTGAACCAAGCCTTTATATGCCCATGTCTATGCCTTGAAAATAAAAGGAGACTCTAGAGCCGAGTTCGAACGCTTCGAACATCGGCGTGGCGATCCCCACCCCATGACTCCCGCGTCAGACCCGGGGGGTATCGTCATTCAATCTCACCACCCATTACAGATAAAAATCTAGCATGTCGTCAACTGGAGGCCCGCCTGGGCAAACGTATAATAGTACAATAACTTTTACAGGGATGGAAGAGCACTGATAGCGTCTCTGTTTACCCGGAAGAAGAACGATGAAGTGAAAAAGAGCAGTGTCCGACAATTAGGACAAAAAGGTTCGTGTGCTTGCTCAGGTAATTCCAAGTGTCGTAGAGTCGTAAAAAGGGCCGTCGCAGGGCAATGAGTACCCATTCGTGAATCTAATGCGCTGATGTATCGAAGAAATCAATAGGTGTTGTTTTGTGTGGTGTACGCTGAAAGCATTAGGTCGGAATGCCCGAAAGTTACGGCAGTTGTCGAGCCAGACTGAGTTCCGAGATGTTGGTCGGGGTCTTGCTGCTACGCGATTTGTCCCCATCCCTGCTTGACGCCGACAACGACGAGAGCTACAATGGCACCTACGACGAGGAGGCCAATAACGGACATGTAGCGATTGAGGGCGCGCCACCACCTGGCGCTTTGGAACAAAGTCTCATCGATGGCCGCGATGCGTCGAGGAAGATCCCCTTCCTCATCTAAGAGACTTGATCGGTGATCGCGCTCCTCCATTTCAGCGTGCGGGTCAGGAGGAAGGGGCAAAAAGGCGGCAATCATCCAAGCTAGGTGCGGTTAGCAGTCGACCCAGAAAAGTTCAACACTGGATTCGCATTACCAAATGGAAGAATGAACCCGAGGGCAAAGAGCACGACTTGCATATTTCGCTTGCCAAGTAGACTATTCTCGGTGGACCATGTCATGGAAGGTGGCTCCCAAATGCTGTAACGGCTGGCCCTTTGGTCACGGCGTAAATGCGGCGACCAAATGCTCGATGTCTTTTTGCGTACACCAGGTCGAAGCTGGCTGTCTAGCGGCATCGGGTTGATTTCCATGGAAGCGGAATCCGACATTGGACCGGGAGCCAGGGGATTGACTTCCCGGGGCCGTCTTCGGGGGCTGTAAATACTCAGCGGAAGGTGTTCCGCACTTGGCGATCGACTCTGGTACGAGCTGGGAGGTCGACTGTCGTTCGGATCGGTTATGATGGAGCCCGAAGAGCTCGCCAGAAACTTTCGTTCCCCACTTCCATAGTAGAACCTGTCCAAAACTGTTAGCTGAATACCGTACTAAGTGCCTCAAGTATGGCTGTGCGCTTGACTCACTTAGCCCATGTAGGAATAGATGCCGAGTTGAAGCTGTTGGCCCGCGAACGTGAGCTGCTCGATGAGTGCAGATTACGATCAGACGAGGTGTTTGAGAAAAAGCTCGAAAGACGTGTTCGGGAAGGACGTTGGTTCAGTTGATGCAACTCCGTTAACCCATCACCATGCTCATCCTGATCGCTTATTAAACGAAGGGTGCCTCCTCGACTGTGACTAGCTTGGGGCCTTTCGAGCGAGTCTGTAAATGACCGTGAGTGGGACAGAGACCTTTCTTCATTGCCTGCCAGCGATGAGGAGATGCTGAGCATTTGCCGGCTATGGCTGCTAAGGGGTTGGCTGCCACGTCGGGCTGGAACCGACCAGGGAGACACAGAGCGAGATGGGGGCTCGCTTCCTCCCTCACTCTCCGACATGACCGTAGATAATTGTGAACTCCATTGATGCGGATGAGCTTGCATGTGGGACGGGACAGGTGTGGAGGTAGATGGCTCAGCTCTTCCGTCCGGCTGCCGCGTAGGCAAGCCAGCCTGCACACGTGATCGATAGGAGGCAGCAGGGGCGGTGATAATGTTCGTGGCTGCCTCAACGCTGCGAGAACTGGATATGGACTTAATCGATGCGATGCGCCGGAGAGAGTCTCGCGAGCGAGTTTTGTAGTAGCCAAACCTCTCCCTGGACTTCTTGCTTTTCTTTGGCTTGAGTGGTGCTACCAACAGGCTTTCTTGCGAGTATTCCGGGCGAACACGGCGGCGGCGGGCCGTAGCCGCAGAAGAGGGTGCAGGGGACGGGTCGCCGTGTAGAATATAGTTGTGGTTACTGTCGGCGCTGCTGTCTGCAGTCTTCGGAGGACTACGCTCAGCGGAGGATGTTTCTGGGGGGGACGATCGGCCAAGAATCTCGTAGTTGGAGTGACTCGATGCAGGTGGCGGCAACGAACTGTCCCTTTGAGGGATGCGAGGAGGCGAGCTAGAGTTGTATACTTGGTAATTTGTTGTATCGGAGGATATCGATGGTGGCGGCAGCACACTCTCAGTATCGGCTCGAGGAGGAGAACTGGAACTGTAAATTTTGTAATTTGTCTTGTCCGACGATGTAGACGCAGTGACAGATGATTGAAAAGACGTCTTGGTCTGCAAGTCAGGGGGGTCCGAGGGTGGGTATGGGTCGACGGCTGGCGCCTCCGGCAGCGGCGCGAGTCGAGAATCAGACGGGGATGGTGGGGCGGATGGGGCTTGGTTGGCTTCAGGGTACAGAAGAGTTGATTTTCCCTTTTGCTTGAGATCAGGAGTATTGAGAACCTTGCGTAGGCCGCCAACCATGCGGTAATTCCAGGGGGACGAATTGGAGGCGACGGTGCTGGCAATATGATCTCCAGCTAATTGCGTGGTCGAGGATGCTGGGGTTAGTGTAGCTGAAAAGCTTCGGTCCGGAGTCACGGTGGTAGAGCTGGGATGGTTTTCGCTGATGTGTGAGGCGTCTGATGAGAAGCGCTCTGGCGAGGCTGTAGAGGAAAGTGACAATGTGGGTGCTTTGGACGAGCCCGGGTCACCCGAGTTCCTGTTCTGCTGTCCTTTCTGGGGTAGAAGAGAAAAAGTCTTCCCATCTGCGTTGATTGTGATAAGATTGCGGCGACGAGACAAGGGGCGCTTCGCCGAAGGGGTGACAGGTTCATCGTCGGTATTGTACTGTGACGACCGGGATCGTGCATTAACGCGGGAATTATCGGTCAGATGAGGCGGAGTAGTGGGAACAGGGGTAGAAGGAGAGGACGGGCCTCCTGTCCAAGAGTCAGATCGCAGTTTCGAGCCTGAAACACCGCGGTCCTTGGCTGCGACCAATGGGAAGGTTGAAGACGCTGGCGACAGTACAGACGTCAGCGTACCGGAGGAATAAGAGCGCCGATGAGAGGAATAGCGGTCGCTAGCACGGCTGGCGGATGTGGAGCGATCATCGATTCTGGAGGAGTTTCGGTGGCCAAGTTCGGAGGTGTTCGGCGACAGCAATGCTGTTGTTGACGTTGGAGTGCGTGATGAGGTGGCCGAAGCGGTAGAGTCGCGATTCTTGTGGCTTGGTCGAGGAGGGCTGTAGGGGACAACGCGAATGGCAAGAGAATTGGACTGTGACTTGGAGCGCTCGTGCAGCGGCCTCCGTTGGGACCGGGAGGGGCTCCCTCGTGAGGGGCTCCCGGACCCGGACCCGGGCATTCTCGGCCGGGATGTGCGGGCACGGGGAGGTTTCGGAGACTCTGCCGTAGCTGGGAGCTTTCGGGGACAGCTTCTTGGGTTTGGGTGTGATGATTCGGCGCCACCGGGGTCTCCGGGCCATGGAGAGCCGGTGCGTCCCGGCGTGGGTTGAGATGGCCGACAGCGGGAATGGTTGGGGTAACGCACGGGAGCCAAATGCGGTCAAAGGCTGCCTGTAGTGACTGACTCGCCGGGAGCAGTTGGTTCAGCTTCGGTGGGTACCGGAAGGCGCCGGCCGGCCTGTGCTTTGGCGGTCCGGTTTGATTCAGCAACCGTACACTGTACAGTGCAAAAACAGTTGGCCGGGTGTCAAGTCCAGAGGTTCGAACTTGTCGGGCGAAAGAGGGCGAACAAGTTGGCTTGCGGCGGCGCACGTTGTTCTGACAGAGGTTCGTTCGTTGTCTTGATGAAAATCATCCGGAACTGATAGAAATTCAACGGTGTTCGAGCAGGTTGGGTTAACCACAAATGCCCGATGATACGTATTCGCTTGGCTGAATCCAAGGTTGTCGACGAGCGTAGGTTGTTCTTTGACTAAGGCGAGGCGGGATGAGCAAGGCGACTAGCACAAGCGAATGAGCGGAAGTGCAAATTTGCCGGGTGGGTTTGCGATTGTTTGCGTGGATCGATGGGAGCTGATCAAGCTGAGCGAGAGAGTGACTGAGGTGAACCGAGGCGTGAGATACTAAACAATGTAAATATCGGGTGACAGCTGAGTAGCCAAGGAGGAGAAATGAGAGTAGGAAGATTATTACTGGCGAATTGCCTGTGTTATGACTAAAGCAGGGGAGGTCGCGAGAAAAAAGATAGAAGAGACAGAGAGAGAGAGAGAGAGAGAGAGAGAGAATAGGAAAGGCAAAAAAAGGCGCCGAGGACGACGAGGCAAAGCGCTGCTCGGTTGCGCAGAGGCAGAAACCGAACAGGAAAGAAAAAGGATAAAAAAACAAAACGAAAAGGTCGAAGGAAAACGCAAGAGATGGAGGCGGGACGGAAGGGCAGCAAAAGCGGGCAAGGCATGGTAGGTAGATGGGGACCGGAGAGGCACCCAAGGCAGCTAGCTGCTGCAAGTTCCAGCACAACCTAAGCCCCCAGGCCCATGTCCAGTCCCAATGGAAGCAAGCAAAAGACGTACGTACCTACTGACATGAAGGTACCTCAGTGTGGGCGATGCGAGGCAAGGTGGATTTGAGCAGGCCCACTACTAAGTACCTAAGATGGAAGCGAACCAGGAAACAAGGTGGGCAGAGTCCAATGAACCGACAGTATACTTGGGATATTTGTTGGTTTCGCTTCGAAGCCAGCTTGACTGTCTATACTGCAACGACTGGCGACAAATCCTGGCTGCATGCAGGTCCTGTGCTTCTGACAGGATGAGGCCGGCTATGAGCACATTGAGATGTCGTTGAGTATGGGCTGCATCTGTGCTAAAGTCAAGTATCGTTGTGGGTAGGTATACCTCTGAGGGACGGTGGATAGTCTCTTAAAAGGCGGTCGAGGGAAAAGGCCAAGCTGGGGTTGAGGAGACGGGATAATCTAACTGGCCCGCCAACATCGAGTCTCCCTATCTCTGCTTCCGAAGCCTGGACCGAAGCAGCAGGGGCAGCAAGAGCAGCAAGGGGCTGGCGCAGACGGGTTGAAGACGACAAGGGGCCTAGCGAACCGGACCAGATCCAAACCAGAAACCAGACACCCAGACCAGCCAGCGAGTCGACAATGGAAGTGATGCGGGGAGGCGGTGCGGCGCGGCGATGCTTCTCTGTTGCAGATGAGATGCAGCGGCCGGGGTGTGTGGTGAGTGGTGAGCAGGATTGCCAATGGCAATCGGCAGACGGATATGACAGGTCGAGCAGTCGATTGGAAGAAGAAAAGGGGCGACAACCACGGTTGATTGACGACTCGGCAGCGGTTCGTTCAGCCGAATTGTAGCAGTAGGTAGCGTCGCAGTCGCAACTCGTCAGAGTAGATCGCCTCGGGGGTCGTTAGTCTCCTGATCTTGTCTCAAGGCCGCGGCCTTATTCCATCGCGAAAAGTAACAGATGAAGAAGGTGAAGGGAAGCGAGCAATGTGTAAGTAGATTGTCAATCGCGACAGCGACAGCGGCGGCGGGGGCCAATGGTACAAGTATTTGACTTGGAAGGCGACAGCCACGGATATTGGAGCAGCCATTTGGCTATGAACGTGGACGTGGAGTCGTGAGACGCACAGAAAACAACAAAAACAAAGCCGTAGTCGCAGGATCCCAGGGCATGAACAAGTCTGGGAGACCTGGTCTTGGGCATCCGACGACGACATCAGACGGGCAGACTTCGTCTGATTCTGGAGTAGGTATGTCCTGCTAGAGCTAAATCTAGCACGCACTCAGGGCCTTCGACGCTAATCTAGCGCAGGGCTCAGAAAGAGACAGAGACCCGGGACAGTCATGGAATACCTAAGGTAGGGCCTTCCTTTGGACCACCCGACGTCCACCAAACCCAAGGTACCTAAGTCCGTGTCTACGCCCCGTACCCAACCGCCACGCGCCGTTGCGACTTACCAGCCAGCGGCTCTGGCAGCTCCCGCTTGACGAATGGATGTTGTGCGAGTCTGAACGCGCTTCTCGCTGTGATCCTATCCATGCCTCCGTGGGTCAATCCGGTGTGCTGGCAACACACTAATTATACTAAGACCATCCACGTCTTCAGCGTGCACTCGAAAATGGGGCCTTGCGTGGTCCACCACATCTTGGACAGGCAGGGCCAGGATAAACCTTACACAGCACCTAGGCACTGGAGGCACAAGTGGGCATTTTGCTCGCTACGGTACCCGCAATACGTTTCTCAATCAAACTTGACCTTAAGACTCTTGAAGGATATTTGATGAGATGCGGAGACAGCGTCCGTGAGTTACGGTAAGGTACGGATACGCAATACGTATGACGACACACCGAAAGAGGAAGTGAATAAACACTGAGAACAACCCTCCTAATCTTGGCAGACCGTAGCAGTGCGAGATTCTTTCTTGCTGAGGCGCTCGGTTGACCGTTGCCCATGATGATACGGCAGGACTCAAACGCTCGCCAGCTTCAAGTCGATGGCCGGCAAAACCCTAGCCTCAAGGCGTTTGTCATTTTCAGCGCTGTGCTCTGTCTGACCGCCATTGTTTACTTTGGTGTGCTCTGTCTCGTTGCTGCAGCCAGCGTAGGTCGGTGCGTCATGCCCACTGGACGGGCTTGCCGAAAGCAATATCTCTTCCGTCAGAGAAGCAAATAATCATACAGGATAGGTACGTAGCAGAGGAGAGAACCTGCCTTGAGGCCATCCGTACGAGAGCGATTAATTTTGACAGCGGCGCCTGGAGGGCCTGACGTTTCATTAACCAGTGGCCTGCCCGCCCGGGGCCCGGGCCTGGGCGCCCCTGCGGAGAAATAACCAGCCGAGAAAACTTCTAATCTACCTCCGCTAGGTAGGTAGGTAGGCAGGTACATACAGTACCTTACCGTATACGGGGGACGTGAAGTCGAAGGCCAGGCGAGGGCCGCGGCGCATCTAATGGCAGGATAAGTATAGATCGCGCGGCTCAGTCGCGTTCAACAATTCCGGTACCAACAGCCTCATCTCAGCTTCTAACGCGTTCGTCGGATCCACCCTGCCACCCATTGCCCTGTAGCCGCCGGCCCCCTCTGCAGCCTGCAGGCCCTGAATTGATCGCGCATCGGTCGTGTAAGAAACCGCGGCTGTGTGAGAAGTCGCAGCTGTTTGTGTGTTAAAAGCACATTCGATCGCAAGACATACACAACGAATGCATATGTGAGAATGAGGCCGTGTTTCTGCCTAAGGTCATGCATTGCAACCTGGCACCGGCGCTTCGAAAATGCGCTTCGAAAATCAGAGGCGCCACGACAGTATAAGGTGCGTCGCGGAATCCCGCACACATGTCCCAGTGGACCAGCTGCCGATGGGTTCCTGGGTAGGTACCTGAGGTTGATTCTGGGTCTTGAGTCTTGTTACGTAATCAATGGACTTCAGCAACTTAGAGACGTGGGTGCAAGTGTGATACCGCCTCACATCATGACACCAAACCTTGGCCTAAGGTAGCTTTATCTTGTCGAGCCAATTCGTTGCCCGGTGTCTTGAGTTTCTCCTATCGCCGGTCCCGTCTCTCAGTCACTTGGCGACGCCCCCGGGCTGCGACGGCGCATACCGGCTGCTCCATGTCCTCTCCTAACTTCGGCTTCGGCCCCGACCCAGGGCCGTCTGATATGGTGCCGCCCTCTTTGCATCCCTTCGCTGTCAGCGCCATGTTGGTATGTCCAAGTTCTTCAACTGCCACTGCTTGACTTTCCTGCTCATAATTAGCCAGGTTCTGTACACAATCATTTATGTGCTTCCGCTTTACATTTCGTCGTCCAGTCGTCCCTCGCCAACTTTGTCCAGGGACGACCCGCGAGTGATTCGTACACGTGTCACTTCCGTTCTGTTTTCTACTGCCATCTGCTGCACCATCACTTACATCGTCTTGGCTCAACTTCCGGACGGCGTCCTGCCCATCTCTCCGCTCCACGCCATGGGCTACTGGCCAGTGGGCCTCGCGGAATCTGGCAGCGCTTTGCTTCTCACTTCCATTCTCTTCGCTGGCCCACTCTACGAAGCCCTTCTCATAGACGGACTCTGGGAGGATTGGAAAACTCTAGAGCCTCTTACGCATGTCTGGACCCGGTGGACCACTTGGCGCAACATTGTCATGGTGTGTCACCTCAACTTTCTGTATCCTTTCTTGCAATTTCATACTAACTTGGATCATAGGGACCTTTGACCGAGGAAATGCTGTTCCGATCTGCTTCAGTGCCGCTACTCTTGTGCGCTCGTATGTCGTTAACTCAAACCATCTTTCTATCCCCTCTCATATTCGGCCTCGCCCATGTCCATCACTTCTACGAATTCCGCATCACCCACCCCAGAGTACCCCTAATCGCCGCCGTCGCTCGCTCAGTACTTCAGTTCGCATACACTTCTCTGTTTGGTGGCTATGCCACATTCCTTTTTTTGCGATCCGGTAGTCTACTGGCCATCGTCTTGGTACATGCATTCTGCAACTCCATGGGCCTTCCCCGGTTCTGGGGATCTGTCGAGCCCCACTGGCATCTTCATGGACATTACACGCACGCAGACGCTCGGAAATGGACGGTATTCTACTATGTACTTTTGTTTACCGGGGCAGGTCTGTGGTGGAAAGGCCTCCTTACCCTCACGGAGAGTTCGTCAACCCTGGTTCCTGGCCGGTTTTGAGACCGCCTATAAAAACCAATTGAATCATGTCCTCATGTCCAAATCTAGCCCCGGTAAAGACCCAGGCATCGAGAAGTCATCGCTTCTTAATCTGCGCCGACGCAGAGAATCATGCTCTCGCCCTGTCCTGCCTCCTGTTTCGGCCTCTACTTCTCTTCGGGCCTCTGCTCGCAAATTCTGATCAATCTCCTTCCCTTTTGCCCTGCCTACTGGTGCATTCGTCTCTGCCAGTCCGTCCTCGGGTCCTCTAGTGTTCTTCTTCCGTGGCCAGAAACTAGGCAAAGCAATCTCCTGGAAACGGGGTTCAACACATCGCTCGTCAAACCAGCGGTGCAGACGTGCTTCAATGAGCTGGGCGATTTTAGGCACATCCTGGAGCCTCGATCGGCTTCCTAGAAGGCTACGAATTGAGAGGTCAAGCCGGTAATCATCGAGAAAGTTGAACGTCATCATAGTAGGGGTCGACTGCGAAGGGTTGCTGGGAATGAAGGAGATCGAAAGAGTGCCGCTGAACCTGACGACAGAGACTGACAGTGCCACCGGCAGCACTGCACTTAGCTTCTTCGGATAATTGAGGAGAAGCTTCGTCTCGATGGCCATTGTCAGCATGTCGCTGAGATCCACATCCATCCGAGCTTGCAGCTTAGCTCCTTCCCTGCTGGCAGCGCTGGCATCGAGCGTCTTGCCATTTCCCAGACTCAAACCATCCTCGTCCACCGGAATGATACGACAGTTGCTGAAAATGGGGAAGTCCTCCCCAAGGCTCAGCTCAGTAACACGGATCTCGTCCACGAAGTCGGGGCGAGATGTTCCATTAAGAGCCTTCGTGAGAGACGTAAGAATTGCGTCGTCGTGCTGGGCGTCGCTGCGTAACTGGGCAATGGTCTGGGCTATCAGGACGTTGAACCAGTCAAGGCTCTCCGGCTGATGACTGTCCACATTGTAGTATGTTTTGCTCAAGATAGAGCCAATGGTCAAGTTAGGAGGATTCCGGAGTACGCTTGACTTCTTGCGATTGAGCGTCTGCTGGCCCTGCCGAGCGTTGGCCGTCCGCAGACTCAAAAGAGATCGCTTGTGGGCGAGTGTCCGGGATCGACGTTCCGTAGCCCTGAGCGAGGCCGTTACCTCAGGCGAGGGAGGATCACCAAAAATGAAGAATTTGATAAAGGCCGCTAGAACGATGACCACCGACAGCTGTCCCAGAATTAAGCCCTGAGTGAAGGAAAGTCTGAGAGATCATTCGTATTGTCAGATCCGCTCTACATAATACTGACGTCTTTTCCTTGGAGAGAATTCGCTGGTTCGTGACTCACGCAGGTTCGGCTTTTGCCGGGCAGGTGTCTGTTGGTAGACTCGTCATAGTCGCAAGACAGCCAACAAACAAGCAGACTGTGGAGTGGCGTTATTCTCAAGACAGCAGTATGGTTGCATCGAAGAAGAAAGAACCGGGAAATTCGGTCTGCTGTTTGTGCGAATATCCCAGGGCGTGAATAGGCTTATAGCGATGGCCATACAGAGGAGTTGTTGCGTGGCAATTGCTTACCCACCTTAGGTATGGTAGAGAGTTGCAGTTCCTTCAGGTATTACGGCGGTAGGTGCCTACCTTACCTGTACTAAGGTACAGGTGTCTCACTGCCTCAGGTCCCCTGAATCAAAGCCCCGCACTATGGGTTTCACGGTCTATTACTGCAGTGTCTCGACCATGCCTACCTCCCTACCTAAGGCACCCACCGTGGCCGAGTAGGTAAGAAGCTCATTGTGTGGCTCAATTGTGTGGCATGCGCCACGAAGCTATGGACGACGACACAAATCGAGGCAGGCATCCTATCCTTCATCACCTCCATCCCTTTGCCCAAACATCGACAATTTCGACGCCTCAATTCTTCCACGAGTTTATCGCAGCCAACACAGCCAAGACCTCTTCATCTGCCTCAACAATTGGCAGCACTGCGGGCTCCGCATAGTCGCTCGCCTTCCTGCGTCGGACAGAGACACTACATACACATTCGCGACCAACCGAGCTTGTCTCGTGTTGTTGGCCAAGATGGACGTGGCTCAAGCAGTGGCCGGCTACGTATCACGCATGGTTTCATCAGCCGACCCTCTTTCGAACACACAGTCGGCCAAGATGAAGGTCCTACTGCTGGACCGGGAAACCGTGCCTATCGTGTCCACCGCCATTACGCAATCTTCTCTGCTTAACCACGAAGTGTATTTAATCGACCGGATTGATAATCCCAGCAGAGAAAAGATGCGTCATCTTCGATGCTTATGTCTCGTACGGCCATCACCAGAATCTATCCAGCTGCTCATCGATGAACTGCGCGAGCCCAAATATGGCGAATACCACTTGTACTTCACCAACGTTGTGAAGAAATCATCGCTCGAAAGGCTTGCTGAGGCGGACGACCACGAGGTGGTCAAGCTAGTTCAGGAGCATTTTGCCGACTTCATTGTCATTAACCCGGACTTATTTTCTCTCGGACTCAGCCTTCCTCATCAACGCATTTGGGGGAGTGGCCCACACACCTGGAACCCGGACGCGCTTCAGCGAAGTGCGGATGGACTCGTTGCTCTATTGCTGGCGCTCAAGAAGAAGCCTTTGATTAGATATGCCAACACGAGCCCGCTCACTAAGAAGTTGGCAACGGAAGTCCGCTATCGCATTACCCAGGAAGAGCAGCTGTTCGATTTCAGAAAGGTGGACACCCCTCCCATTCTTCTAATCCTTGACCGTCGCGAGGATTCGGTCACGCCGCTACTTACCCAGTGGACGTATCAAGCCATGGTGCATCATCTCCTAGGCATCAACAACGGTAGAGTCGATTTGAGTGATGTTCCGGACATTCGGCCGGAGCTCAAGGAAATCGTTCTGTCTCAAGATCAAGATCCCTTCTTCAAGAAGAACATGTATCTCAACTTCGGCGACCTAGGTGGAAACATCAAGGACTACGTGGAACAGTACCAATCCAAAACGCAGAACAACGCCAACATCGAGTCCATATCTGATATGAAGCGTTTCATCGAGGAGTATCCGGAATTCCGGAAGCTGTCGGGCAATGTGAGCAAGCATGTTACCTTGGTCTCAGAGTTGAGCAGGCGTGTGGGCGCGGAAAATCTTCTCGAAGTCAGCGAGCTCGAGCAGAGCCTAGCATGCAACGATAACCATGCAGCCGACGTAAAGGTGTGTGCCAGAAAAGTCCCACGAACGACCATGATCCCGAGCAAGGTTGACTAACTGCTCTCTTAACAGAACATCCAAAAGCTCATCCAGTCCCCGAAGGTGACAAGTGACAGCAAGGTTGCCTTGGTTGCTCTGTACGCACTGCGATATGAGCGCAACCCGTCGAACTCTCTTCCAATGCTCATTGACCTTCTGGTGGCAGCTGGTGGGGTTTCGGTACGGCGAGCAGATCTCGTCCCGAAGTTAGTGTCTTATCAATCGTCTCTGCAGCAGTCACAGGCACAGACAGGCATCACAGACATATTCGAATCAGCGGGCATTTTTGGCTCAGCGGGCAATCGATTCAAGGGGCTTAAAGGTGTTGAGAATGTCTATACCCAGCACAGTCCCCTGATGGAGAGCACCTTGCAAAATTTGATCCGGGGGAGACTCAAAGAACAACAATATCCATTTGTCGAGGGTGGCGGGACTACACGAGATAAGCCGCAGGACATAATTGTTTTCATGGTCGGAGGTGCAACATATGAAGAGGCCAAGATGGTTGCGACCATCAATGCAAGCACACCCGGTGTTCGACTGGTGTTGGGCGGCACAACCGTTCATAATGCTTCAACGTATCTCGAGGAAGTCGAAGATGCTGTGTCCTCATGGCCCGATTCGCAACAAATGGGAACGAGACGGTAAAAGCATCGGGGACCGGACAGAGTTGGTTCCGCGAACTCCAGACAAATGGAAGCAAGCCTATATCAATATTTCTATGACACTTCTTCAATGACAATAGCTAATGGGCTGGATGCCTGCCAGTTGTGAATCAAAGTCCTGGCAGATGCTTGGAATTATCATTCGTTTGTTGATTGTCTGCTTTGCACGGCATATATAGATTGCAGATTGCATACTACTTATTAGCCACGCCGTAACCATGGTGTAGTTACGTAGGTAAGGTAGCGCCACGTCGCTATCGGTGTTTGTTGTCACCGACTGCCGGTCAAGGGGCCAGCACGTTGGGGCCGAGCGCGGGAGGCGGCCCCCCCCCCCCCCCCCCCCCCAAAAAAAAAAAAAAAAAAAAAAAAAAAAAAAGAGAGAGGGAAACAGATCAGACGAGGCTTGACGCAAGTATGGCGATCGGGTGGCCGACGGTTTAATACCATCTCCTCACAAGCCTCTCTCCCAAATCATTTTGCTCTCCTCCTTTACTTTCAAGCTTTGTCTGCCCGCGTCGGATCTAACATTGCCGGCTTCTTCCCCTGTCAACGAGACATGCGATCCCTTGCAGCGGCTCTGAGGCTTCGACCGCGCGGCTTCTGCGGCTCCGGATGTATGCAACGTCCAAATCCGTCCCGTAGTCAAGGCGGGCGGGGATTTGCTGCTGTGGCAGAGGGCACAAGGTCTGATCGTACTTAACAATCCGATTCGCATTGCGCTAATACAAGGTCCCAGGCCTTTCGACGTTGTCGTCGTAGGAGGTGGTCATGCCGGCGCAGAAGCATGCGCCGCCGCCGCCAGAGCCGGCGCAAAGACGGCCCTGGTCACCCCGAAAATGGAGAATCTCGGCACCTGCTCTTGTAACCCTTCGTTCGGCGGTATTGGAAAGGGTATCATCTTGCGCGAGATCGATGCTCTGGATGGATTAGCCGGCAGAATCATTGACAAGGCTGGCATCCAGTTCAAGGTCCTGAACCGTTCAAAAGGCCGCGCCGTATGGGTAAGGATTTTCCATCATTTATGGTCGTCCTGGCGGGTTGCATGACTGATTCACCTCACAGGGCCCTCGGGCGCAAATCGATCGAAAACTTTACCAGAGATACATGAGAGAAGAGCTGGAAACGTATCCAAACTTGTCCGTTGTACTTGGCAGCGTCACCGACATTGTGACAGATGTCACGCTTGATGCTACGAGCGCGGCGAAAAATAGGATTACCGGTGTACGTCTGGAGTCTGGCGAAGTCCTCCCTACCACCCAGGTCATCATCACAACCGGCACGTTCTTGAGCGGCGAGATACACATTGGTATGGAATGTTACCCGGCAGGTCGCATCGGAGAGGACGCCTCGTATGGTCTGAGCAAGTCGCTCAAGGACGCGGGCTTTAGCCTAGGAAGGCTGAAGACGGGCACACCGCCTCGCATTGCCAAGGACAGTATCAACTACTCAATATTGGAAGAACAACCAGGGGACGATCCACCCCTACCCTTCAGCTTTTTGAACAGTCAGGTCGCTGTGCAGGATCAGATGCTCTGCTACATCACTTACACGAATGAAACAACACACGCAATTGTTCGCGAAAATCTGGACAAAACAATACACATTCGGGAAACTATCAGGGGTCCCAGATACTGCCCATCCTTGGAAGCCAAGATTGTCCGCTTCTCTGACAAGGAAAGGCACATCGTGTGGCTGGAGCCTGAGGGTTTTGACAGCGACGTGATTTATCCCAACGGCCTATCGATGACTGTCCCGCCTGAAGCTCAAGAACAGATCCTTCGCTCAATTAGGGGCTTGGAGCGCTCTGTCATGACGCAACCAGGATACGGTGTCGAATATGATTACATTGATCCCCGGAGCCTAAAGTCTACTCTGGAGACAAAGAATATTGCCGGCTTGTACCTGGCAGGCCAGATTAACGGAACTACAGGTTACGAGGAGGCGGCAGGGCAAGGCATTGTCGCTGGCATCAATGCTGGCCGAGCTGCTCAGGGTCTTTCACCAGCCTCTATTTCGAGAGCAGACGGTTACATCGGTGTTATGATCGATGACCTGATCACCAAGGGCGTCACAGAGCCATACAGAATGTTCACATCGCGAAGTGAATACAGGCTGGCGTCTAGGGCGGACAACGCAGATTTGAGGTTGACTAAACAAGGACGCGAATGGGGAGTCGTCACAGACAAGCGTTGGAGCTCCTTCTCTCACGAGAAACAGCAGATGGATGAACTGATGTCTCTGCTCAAGAGAACATCAAAAGCGCCCCAGGATTGGATTCGTGCAGGTTTCCCTTTCAGCAAAATATCTGAATATCGCGACGCTGCTGACATGCTCCTGTTGCGAAACGTCACGATGGACCAAGTTGCCGCTGTTGTTCCTGGGATCGGTGACTTCGCTGAGAACATCAAGTCTCGGGTTCATATTGAGGCCATGTACACACCCTGGGTAAAGAGGCAGGTCAGTGAGCGCAAAGTCCTCAGCCATGATGACAAGGTACATCTCTCATCAGTTGATTACGATGAGGTCCCAGGACTGGCTACGGCGGAAAAGAATGTGCTGAAGGCCATCAGGCCCGAGACTCTGGCTCAAGCTAGGAGGCTAGAAGGCATCACCCCTGCTGGGTGCATTCGATTGGTTTCCTACATCAAGAATCAGGTCCGCATCAAACGAGCGGAGCGCTTGGCAAAGCAGACCGGACAGTTCAAGTTAGAGAACCCGAGGGCTTCCATGCCTCAACTGCCTTGATGAGGTATGGTGGAAGCCCTCTCACGAATATGAATAGTCATGAATAAACGATTCTGAGCAGTGGTTTCTCTTACTGGAAGCGGCCACATTCTCTCCAGTGCCCAGGCAGAGATGCCCACCAATGACTAGCCCCGTTATATCGATTCTTGATTTTTCCCACCTATAACGCCGTTTTGCGATGCATACATAAGATACCATACTCGCTGCGTCCTATGAGTGTACCTAAGTGTGAAGGCCTCCCTGGATTTTGTTGGGGTCCATCGTGGTGTTCTTCACGGCCGAAGCTGTCCGGGTCACAGCGGGAGCGCTTATTGATTTTCCGTCTCTTTCAGACCTTCGTATATGCCTCAGCCCTATGAGCCCTATGCTGGCTTATCCTTGGGGGCGGAAAGGATCTTGACTGCGTCCTTGCTGAAGACGTAACTGGCCCCGCTCCAGACTGTTGTGGTTGCCACAATGTATCTAGCCGTGGTGTAAGTAGTGATACGGGGGGTTGACCAAGCTTCGGACAACTTACTGTAGAACGGTCAGTGGCGTAGAAAGGTCGTAGGTGAGGACTGGCGCGGCCGTCGTCAGGCCCACCAGGGCAAGCTGGAGGAACGTATTGTATTTGCTGATGGTCGTCGGACGAACTTCGGCCGAGGGCAAAGAGAAGTCCCAGTATCGCGCGAAAGTCTTCGGGGGTGGGAGGGAGATCCAGCGATAGTAGATGGCGGATATCGCAAGACCGACATCGCGGCCTAGGATGATGGCGGCGAGCCAAACTATTTGGGCAGAGCAAAGTCAGCTGTTTCCGTCGTTGATTTCCCCTCCACATTCCACCTTTTCCGTCTTTGTCATGGCCGCTCGTTTTTGTCCCTCTCTCCGAATATCCGTCAAACTGGGATAAACTGACCTGGTAGAGAGCCTTGGGCAGCTAAGCACACCGTCAAGACGGTCATCAGAGTCTTATCGGCCATAGGATCGATGACGGTGCCTACTACCGTCTGAAGGTTCCATCGGCGGGCGATCCAACCATCAAGTAGATCGGTGATGCCCGCATAGGCAAAGAGACCCAGGGCCCAGGCATGCTGATCGTGCAGTATGAAGTAGCCAACGAAGGGTGCGGCTACGAGTCGCGATAACGTAAGAATATTCGGGATGGTATAAATATCTTCATGGAGATTCTTTGGGAACGCAGGGATTTTAGACGCGATTTTGGACGAGGTCGTCGCACTGCTGCAAGACGTTGTTAGTCCAGTAGTCCGCTCCAACCGTTGGCACCGAAACAAGAAGCCGTTGCAGCTCAGCGAGACTCCATGCACATGTCCAAAAACATACCTTGTACTCTTCCCATCGCTTCGAGATGTGTAGGGCGCAAGTGACCATGGGCGCTGGTGAAGCTGAATTGCCTTGGTCGGAAGAGGAGCCGTCAGCTTGGTATCTGGCCGCCACGCTGGTGACGAGCATGCGACGGGCCATCTACTGAGTCGTTGACCACAATGCGTCAAGGCCGTTCGACCACCAAGCCTGAGCATTACCATATTTGGTTCCGGAACTCGACGTCGGCCAGTCGCCAGCTACGGTGCGGTCCGTTGCGAAGGGCACGCTCAGTCCCTAATTTACTCGACGACGGGGACTTTCGTTCTAGCTGCACAAGGTTCCTAAGCAAGGCTTTGCAATTGGCCAGGCTCATGCCAGTAGCGGGGCATACGCTAGGAAGTGCGCCACTTCAGTACCGAGGTTTGGCTGCATGACGGTTTTGGATTTATCATTTTGGTCACTGTAACTACAACTGTGACTATGGCAACAGCTCCATCCAGCCGTTCTCTTCAGAGGCTTCTGAACAAGAGGGCACTTATAAACGCTCGACGGCAAAGACGGCGCGCGCCACTGTATCTGTAAACTGTTTTTGCCCCGTTGCTACTGCTTTTAAGCGCCACAAACATCTTCATTCTCCGCGCAACGCCGCCTCGTCTTCCCCTACTTCACGACTGTCGAGGCACACTCCATGTGTGCTTCCGCGAAGTCGTTTTCATCATCACATAATCCTCCACAGGCGCGCCGAAACCACCAGCACTTACGCCAGTCACGAGGCGTCCTGCTTCGGTTTCCTCTGTCCCACACTCTTCCAATTTCTCGGCGGAAATATTGTAAGATTCCTTTGCCGTTTGAGAAGTCACGCCCCGCAACATTTGGCACACTGTCGTTCAAGGGCGATCGCTCTAGGCCCCGTTCAGGGCGACTTGTTCCTCTGCACTTCCAAGGTGCCATTTCCTCACAGATCGGACTCCTGTCAGTGGCAGGTGTCGCCAGTTCTCAAGTCCTATTCATGGCGTTGCTCCCGCTTGGCCACGCAGAGTTCCCTTGAGACATGTATTGATTTTGATCATCCTCGAGTTGGTCGAATGAGTTCCAATCCCGAGAAATCCCGTCGAAGGTGATGTTTGGTGCAGACCTGTCGCCGCCCAAGCCGGATTCGGAGTGTACGTTTCGTGGAGACTGAGCAGGGAAAGCCTCGTGTGATGTCATATCGGTAACCCGCTGTGGCTGCTGCGAGTAGAGCATACTGGACATATAATTACCCCCCATGGATCTTGCCGGATCGGGCACAGCAGGCAAGCTACCCGTCAGGCTCATGTCCGGCCCCGATGTGGGCTCGTATGCCGTGGAATGACGACGGGGGTGGTGCTGAGGTTCCAAGGCTATTGTCCGTGATAAGTCAGGGCCCAAACCTGCGCCAGAGGCATATCTATTTGGTCGGCCCATGTTGTCGTAGTACGGGTGGTGTTGTGGTTGCGCGTACCCAACGTTGCCTACAGACCCAGGCACCGCACTCAAATACTGTGGCATGTAGGATGCTTGTCCAAATTGGGTACCCATGCCACCCATGTGGTGAAGAGAAGGGACGGACATAGCGCGCGACATGCTCTGGTGGTGACTGTTGACGGGATACGGATGGGCGAAAAGTCCACCGCCGTGAGGTGCTCTCGAGTCATCCATTTCTACCTCGTCGATAGGTGCCCTGAAATTTTGAGACATGATCAGTTCGCCTCGAGGGATGATGGTCGACAATTGGTGGTCTTTAGATGGCGTCAGAAGCTTGCCCTCGGTCACATCTTCCACGTTGTAGTAGGAAACCAGGTGATGTGGAACGCCCTGGTAGGTGACGCTGATGGTTTTTTTCACCAGCCCATTCTCTTTGAAAGGATACGAGTCAACCAGTGAACCGATCAACGCCCTCTCAGCGTCTTTCGTTGGGGTTGAACCATCACCCATACCAGGCATGTTGGCAGCAGCCCCGTTGACACTTCCTTGTCGTGAGGCCACATCACTGGGCTTGGTAACTCCGGTCGTCTTTTTGTTCCTCTTCATGGCACGCTTTTTTTCGCCGGGGGGGAAGGGCCTGTCGAGCTCGCGGTAAATCAAGAAATTGCCTAGGATGCGACTGGGGCTCCAAGCAACGCCGTCGGTCCAGCGCTTGATGCCAGACGAGTGCTCCTCGTAAATGAAAACATTTCCGCTTTTAATGAGGTCCTGTCTTTCACGGTCGTGAGGCCTTCGGGGAACGTGCTGCAAAGCACTGCTGAGACAAGCTTCGAAGAGCACCAAAGCGTCCAAGGTGGATGCAACGTGTCCTACGAACGTAGGGTTTAGCGGAACGTTGGAATTCGCCATTTTGGCCTCCGGCAGCGTCGAGTCTAATTGTGTGTAAGTTCTCGGTTTCCAACGTTGTCCAAGTAAACAGAGCATAGTAGAGTTGCGCCACTTACCAACAGAGTACGCGAAGTGCGATGGAGTGAGTAACGAAGTTGCGGTCGTTGCCGTTGCCGTCGCGGTGGGCATATGATGCTGCGCGTTGGAGAACTGATTCTAAAAGGACGGTAGAGCAAGGTGGTGATGATGATGGTGCAGACTGTGTGGGATCTAGTCTGACCAAGTTGTGTCTTAATATGTGTCAAGACTAAGTAAGGTTCGGAAAAAAGACGGTTGGGAAAGAGAGGGTGGGAAAGAGGGGAGGTTATGAAAGGCACTTGATGGGTAAGGTGAATACGATGAAGTGTGTGGAGCTGGAACTGGGAAACAGTCGGTTCTTGGTTCGGTGTGCGCTGGTCGTCACATCCAGGTCACAGTACCGCCTCCCCCCGTACGCCTCTTTTCGGCGGATCGACCTTGTTCGACGAAAAAATTTTGAGGTCAACAGCTACAGCAAGGTGGACAGCGGAACCCTTCGCGTCGATTTAACCACAGTTGGGCGTCGGATGGCGCGACGGCGAGGCACCTGGTCGTAAATAGAGACGGACAGAGAGGGAAGCTTGATCTGGGCTCGATACGGGCGTCCACGGCGCGTCCAGAAAGTAGCTAGGCAGCTGTACAGGCCAGCCAGGTACTCTTCGTAAGTATGGCAGCGGTTTGTAGGTGACTGTGTAAGAGGCTTGTGGCGTGCGTAGGCCAGGAACCGGAGGTAGATGGCAAGATCCAGCGTTTTAAGGTTCGAGCGCTGCACAGACAGACGAAATGGCTGGTCCAAAAGTCCGACGTGCTGTGGGCGATTACTCTGCCTCGTTATGGACGCGGTCGAGGACAGAGAGGTTTGTGTGTACGTATGTGTGTGTGTAGGTGGCGGGCAATTTTTGAACCACGAGGTGGAAGGTGTCGGATTGCAGATTGACGAAGGTACGAAGACCAAAAGAAGTCAAGAGGTGGTGGTGTATGTGTGTGTGAGAGAGAAGGGGATATATAGAGAGAGCCAGAGGTAGAAAGACGCAGTCGTTATGTGAAGGTAACAACGAGTGGTGAAGATGATGTGGCGGTGATTGCAGATGATCTTGCACCCTCGAATGTCGAAGAAAGGCTCCAGAATAGATATAAACAGGAGGGAGGGCCTCGGAGGTTTTTGATTCTGAACCGAGCGGTTGGGCCTCGAGCTCCCAGGTTCGTTAGCTTAGCTTCGGAAGCTGGGGGAGTAGCAGAACCAGAGGAGCAGCAGACGCAGGCGCCAAAATGGTCAATGACTGAGATGGAGATCGCGGAGCCGGCGATGGACTTATATCATGTCGGTGCCCGACGGCAGAACTGGTATTTGCGCGTGAAGATCGGAAGACTGGACGAATTTGTAGAGAGAAACGGTCCAGGCTACCATGGGGGTCGAGCAACTGGAGTAAACGAGGATAGAACAGAGCGACAAAAGCAGGCCTTGTCAAGTACAGGGCAGATCGGGCTCAAGGCTCAAGGCTCAAGGCTCAGGGCTCAGGGCTCAAGGCTCGGGATGCCGACGTAGGGCCACGGCCACGGCCTGGCAAGGTGCCGTTGTCGACAAGAGCAGGAAGCTGTTTGAACCCGAACCAGGGTAGCTGATGAAGCTCTACCATGTACGTCAGAGAGCCAAGCAGACAGGGCGGACGGGGCAGAGCGGCGGTTGAGGAGCAATGGTAACAAGCATCAATTTGGCAGTCGTATCAGGAGGGGACGTGGTCGTGGACGACCAGGTTCTGAGAGAGCAGAGCCGATTAACGTGGGGAGCAGGACGAGGCGGAGACGACGGCGGCGGCGGCGGCGGCGGTGGGACGCAAAGACACACAACCCATAATAGGACGTCTCGTCGGTGGCAGCAAGTTGGAGGTTGCAGGGGGGGAGGGGTGCGCGAGGATCGGGGAGGGGGACGGTGAATGAGACGGGGGAAGAGGGAGGAGGAGAGGGAGAGAGAAAGAGAGAGAGAGACTGAGGGACGAAGAGGGGATAGGCGCGTGAGTCTGTATCCGTAGTGTGTCTGTGTATGTACGAGGAGGGGAAGGGGTGTAGGGGGGTGGGGGTAAAGAGAGGGTGAAGTTATGAAGGGGAATGAAGAAGGTAAGGATGGGGGTTAGCACAGACAGATGGTCAGAGAGAGAGAGAGAGAGCGAAAGAGAAGGGTAGGAGGGTCGCAGAATGAAGAGAAGGTGTGTACGGATGGGGTAGTGTAGATTTGGATGCCCTGAGCTTTTGCTTTGGGTGGGTGGATGAACGGGGGGATGGGAGAGGCGGAAGGAAGGGGGAAGAGAGACTCTGCACGTGTGTGAGAGCGAAAAGGGAAGAGATACAAGGACGAAGGCCCGTAGACCTTGGGGGAAACGGTCGGCGATCAAAGGCGGGCGGGCGAACTGGAGAGGATGGCAGGGGAAAGAGAAGACGCCGGGGACTGGTCTGTACCTTTTGCGTGTCTTCGCGCGAGGTACCTCAGGTAGGGCATGAGCATGGACCTGCACATGGACATGGACATGGACATGGACGGGGAAGACAAGGGAACTTGGACTTGGCTTGAGCCGATTTTGACGGGGGGTTTCCTACTGCTACTTGCGGGCGGCGGGAGGTGTGTTCTGTCTGATGTTCTGTATCTAGACTATATGCTAATTGTACTCCGTACACCTGCTTGTCTGTCTGGAAGACTTCTGACTGGAGATATGATCGTCTTTCTTTTCCCAGTCTTTGAAGCCAACGAGCTC